TTTGTAAAAATCGTTTCAGCGTTTCAGAAAGGCAGGGCATAGAGGAGAAACAATAATGTACAGTATGTGGAAAATAATGTGTTTTTGGAACCTTAAACCGCATAAACACATTTCATTACACCAAATAATGTTCTTTTTAGCAGCATCATATGACCCCATTAAAGCTTTTACTTAGTGGCTAAATGAGACTACAGATTTTGTTGGTGACATTAAACATCATCAAACCGGACAGGTAAACTCTTGTCAATTCACCTTTATTTCTGTAGTGCTTTATACAGTAGAGATGGTTTCGAAGCAGCTTTGCAGTATTAAACAGGAAACTAACAGAATCAATGATGCAAACTTCATAAAATATCACGTAATCTACTCATAAACTTTTGCTTTTACAGCTTTGCTGTGTTTATATCACGCACTTGCAAACTATTCTAACTCAATTTTTAGGGAAAATATTTTTTAAATATAGACTAAAGGCAAAATTAATAATTCATAAATTGTGTAAATTTGTGAAGATTATCATGATGAACAAAGCAGGTGAAAATTATAAACTTTTGTTGGTCACAGAGCTTATTTTCTGGAATAATCCAAAAGCCAATAGAAAAATCCTATTGGGTTTTTGTTTATGGATACTAATTTATGGGTTAGTGAGTGAGTGAGTGAGTGAGTGAGTGAGTGAGTGAGTGAGTGTGAGTGACGTTAGTGCTCTGCATTTATCCCATCCAAAGTCCACACACACAGCAGTGAACACGCATACACCGTGAACACACACCCGGAGCCAGGGCCGTTCCTAGCCAATTTGACGCCCTAGGACGAAATTCTTTTAATTCTTTTCAGACACCAGTTGCTTGTGACATTAAAATTGGTTGTCATAGCAACGACACTAATTTGTGGAGATTCAGTGCATTGAGTTCCACAAATCTGAATGCATTATTTGTAAATTGACTGTTAAGATAAACATTTTGCACAATTTAGTATCTGTAATATCATTGTGTTGCCACTAGAGGCCTGTATAGCCCTGTGTAACAATCCCTAGTGGCTAAGATATTGCACATAATTTACACATAAATTAATTTTATTACATTTTGATTCTGATACTATATACTATACTACAACATATTGTTTAGATATTATCAATGGCTACTTTTTTGTCTTTATCTGTTTTTTGTTTGATTTTTTTGTTGTTGTTTCTTGAAACATTGATTTAAAGTGTCAGTTATTGCATTATTATTTCAGTCAAACCTAAAAAAAAACCTTTGTTACCCCAAACTACATATAAAAGCTTCATCAGTGGCATAAAAGTAACCAATGCAGCTACTTAAATATAACTTAGCTTTATTGCATGGCAAAAAAAAAGTGTTACCTTGACAGAGTGATTAGACTTGACTGACAGAGCCCACTGATCTAATGGCGTTGTTGAGCGCTCCGAATGCAAACTTTGCATGCAACAATCAGGCAGCAATTGACAGCACTCTGATCTAGTGGCATACAGGCATCATCAGATTGACAGTACTCTAGCCAATAATCTTGGGGGATCCAGTGGGGGCGGCAGTCATATTTCAGGGTGACCATGCCACTCTTTATCACAACCCTGCTAAAGTGGCAGTACGTGCGCTCATTGGCGCCCCTTCAGCTGGTGAGTCCGACTCTCTAACCATTAGGCCACGACTTAGCCTACAAAAATAAGTTTTTTTGCAAAAACATCTGGAATCCTGAAATTAAATTGAAAGAAAATAAGAGTGTCTGGCCTTTGAATATTGTTGCTTATGATGGTGGTCTTTGGAGGTAAAAAGGCTGAGAACCACTGCTCTAATGGTTAGGAAAGTAGCGAGAGCACAATGCTATGTTACAAGCACGTCTGCTGTCGCTGCTCAACAGCTTTGCCCATTTCAAGTTGTCTTCTGAAGAGTTGAATGTTCAGAAACAAAAATCTGATTTCATATATTTACAGCCTCGAAAGGTTTTGTGCTTTCTCCACCATAGGGACTATCTTGGGAAACTGTTTAGCCAAATGTTGACACAGGCTTACCTCTGCTCTCGTATGTAAAGCACATTCATAACTAACAAGATAATTACAGCTGTAATGATGTCCTTACAGTCCCTTGCCCATCGTGACGATAATAAATGAGACACATTTTCTTCTGCCAGTGCAAGTCAAGCTGGCCTCCTGAGTGTGCTTGCCTGCTGAAGAAAGCTGTTGTGAACTAAATATGAGGTGTAATGAGCATCAGTCAAGCAGAGCAGCACCATATGTCAGTTAAACACATTCAGTCGCGTGTTTGTGCATGTGTCTACTGCTCTTGTCTGCTCTGATGAGCTCTGTTTTGCCTTTGTGCCTGTTCTGCCATCTTTGGCTCAACTTTTATGTCTATTAAACTGTAAATAAATTGCAGCCAGCAGGCCTTCAGCTTACAACTCTGGCCCTTTAATCTTCCCGCTTTCTCCTTCCTTAGTTTTTTCTCTCGTCTGCCTAACCACCCCTGACAGGGTAAGCGCATAGAGGTAGGCTGCCTGTCGGCCGGGGGGCAAATTTAAACAAACGAGAGAAATAAAAGAGGGAGCTCCGGAGGAGATGGGGTAAACTGACAGCTTCTGTGGAGGAGAGTAATTACAGTCCAGAGAGAAATTAACTCAGCCGGATGGAGGAGAGAAACAGAGGACAGAATAAAAGAGGGGTGTATAAGAGACCAGGCAGACTAACACCATGTTTTTTCAGTGAGGTAAATGAATTTCTGAAACATGTCCACATCGCATTTCACCCCTAAAAATCAAAAGAAAATCTATATATTTGTGAACCATTACAGGATTTTGCACTGAGACATTTTCATTTCAATAGTGGAATAATTTACCTAAAAATTATCATCATGTGTTATTGACACTTTTTACTCTTATTTTCATTACTAAGTCTATATATATATATAATATATATATATATATTGATACATAAATTATGTTCTTTTGAAAGTTCTGTTCATTAAACAATCCTGAAAAAATGCATCACAGTTTACATTTCACCCCTAAAAATCAAAAGAAAATCTATATATTTGTGAACCATTACAGGATTTTGCACTGAGACATTTTCATTTCAATAGTGGAATAATTTACCTAAAAATTATCATCATGTGTTATTGACACTTTTTACTCTTATTTTCATTACTAAGTCTATATATATATATAATATATATATATATATTGATACATAAATTATATATACATAAATTATGTTCTTTTGAAAGTTCTGTTCATCAAACAATCCTGAAAAAATGCATCACAGTTTACACAAAAATATTAAAACTAATTTCAACATTGATAATAATAGCAAATGTTTCTGGAGCAGCAAATCAGCATATTATAATGATTCTCACAGGAATAAATTGCATATTAAATTGCATTTTAAAATTAAATATTAACAGAAACTGTTTAAAGTGTTATAATATTTAACAGTATTACTGTTTTTACTGTATTTTTTATCAAATAAATAAAGCTTTGGTGACCATAGCTTTTTTCACCAAATATATATATATATATATATAAAATAATTTTAACATCAATGAGAATTTAGGTGGGATGTGCTTGATTGTCCTCAAAATGCAAACAAAATGACTATTTTATTATGCAAAACACTTATTTTTATTCTTTTAATTTTGGGGTGAAATATTCACTCAGTGAACATTGTGTATGTCTGACGTGCAAGTACTGTTTTTTTCACAGATTTCTTTTCATTACTGAAAAGCAGGGGACATAACACGGAGGGTGTGCATTTTAAATGAACAGAGAGGGAGAGAGGTGAAAGGCTGAGAAATGGCATTCTGGTCTGGTTCATATGTCTGATATACCTCTGTCTGAAGCTAAATCAGCTTCATGTGGAACTGCATTCCGTAATTCAATTAATTTATAGCTAGGCTTATTTTTAGCATTTGTCATGCAAGTTTGTCCGCTTTTATGTTCGGTAAATATTCCATGTAAATCATGAATAAAGTGCGGTATAAGCTCTTAGCTCTTTGAAAAATGAGTCCCATTTCAATTAATATGAGTAATAATGGTTTATCAGAGCAGGGGTGGGGGGACTGTAGAGGCTGCTGATGGAGAGTGAATAATACCCAACACCCCTACCATAATCTGCACCAGGATTCATTCTCTATCACCACATCAGAAAGTGTGTGTCTCTCTAATATCATACTCTGGTACATACAGATCTGTCATTGGTAACCACAATGGAGAAGACACTTCATGCTGTGGTAACTATGATATGTTTAAAGTTGGAGATTAATGAGCCATCACTGTTTATTCTGTGTACAGATGCCTGAAGCTGCCCATACAGGGGTCTAAAAGTCTGATACAACATTGAGAAACTGGGATTCAAACTATAATTTGAATCTAAATAATAAACAAAGTTTCAGGATTTTGAAAAATTGGTGACATGTGAAATCTTTGTACAGATGGATAGATACATTTGCTTCCTATTATCCAAAAGATGGTTTTACACAAATTTCTAATCTTGAGTTTATGCAGCTCAAGTGCTGCTGTCATTAAAACCAAAGAGGGATAGTACAGATACGTAAAGATTAATGTAATTTCTAAAGTCAATTGTGGCCTGGAATTTCTGTGTTGATAATATATTTAGTAATGAACTTGTTGAAGTATAAAAGTGCAAAATGGAAGCATTTTTCACTTGTAGTCTCAGGCTTTTGGACCTCACTGTATGTAATTGTGGGTAAAGTTTTACTGTTGAAAGTGATTGATGGATACTTTCGTTACTGTGTTTGCTCAACCATGAAATGCCCATTTAGTTGATGGAGGAATGGATTCATTTGTTTGTGAGGACCAACCATAAAAATTTTGATTTTTAAATGAAGTTCCATCCCATATAATTTTTGAAATGTTGTCATTAGGTTTGACAGATCTGTGAACAGATTTACTTCAAAGCTGCTTCTGTCTCACATCTCAGACCAACATATTATGGGTCTGGCTGAGACCTGGTAACAATGGTGGAGGCAGGTGTCTATGAAACATTTTTATTACAGAGTGGAATATTAATAGTGGTCATGCTTCACAGTACATGGTTTAATTCAAGTCCTTGATGAACACCAAAACGAACAAGAGTAACAATATTAATTATTGCTCTTTTAAGAAGGCACTTAATTAAAACAGCTCCCCCCTCTGCCTCATTATAATTTTTGTCTGGGAGCTTCACACCACAGCAGGCTGCTCGTGTTTGGCTTTACAAATCATCAGCTGTACAAACTACAAAGTGTGCTAATACGATGAGTTATCTCTGCTAATCTTGCCAAAAGCACAGTTTCAGGGCTCTTTCATGACCTCTAGAGCTCGTGGGAAATGTAAGCCGGTCCCAGGGAGGTCTCAGTGGGGTCTAGGCTGACGTGAGAGAGCGTGTGGCTGTGTCCGTGAGTGCGTGAGAGCGTGTGGTAGCGCGTAGAGGACGACTCTGGAGACGTGCACTCTTGCTCCTGCTCCGTGGCTTGCTCCGAAGCCACCCCTCGAGTCTGATTTCCAGTTCCTGTGGCGGCTCCTGCGCCCTGCATCCCTCCGCTGCCCTTTCTGTGTCTCTCCCAGGCAGAGCTCAACTTTACCGCAAGAGCCAGCAGGTTTTTCCCCAGGAACACCGTGGACACCCGTGGGTCCCTGTACCACAGCATCCCGACCCCTCTGGGCACGAGCGTGAACAGGTTAATGGTCACCAGGCTGAGCCACGGATAGATGGCCTCCTTCCGAGCCGCCTGGAGCCCAGGCAGCGCAGTGGCACCCAGCTCCGTGAGCGACACGCATGGCAGCAACAGCAACAGCACGTAACAGTAAAAGAAAACTATACCCTCCACCCAAAGAGGAACCCCCACGCTTCCCTGCGCCTCCCACAGCCCGGCTTGCAGATCCAACACATCAAGCAAGTCAACCACCACCCACAGAAGCCGGCTGCGCACCTCCTGCTTCCTTCGGAGTGGAGTCATGTAGTCGGCTCCTGTCAGGATGAGAAACAGCGAGGGCAGGCACACAGAAAGTAAAAGAGTCAGAGTCTTGCGGGCGAGAGGATCTGGGGGTCGTCTCTCCTGTCTGTAGTTCTGACACACAAAGAAAAGCTTCAGCTGCAGCAGCGAGAGGAAAAGAAACCAGAGAGCGTTGGCGAAGCCCCGGCGGGGAGAGCGAGCCTCCGAAACCACACCGGCGGAAACAAAGCGCAGTGCCAGCAGAAAACACAGGTCACCCAGCGCGACGGCGACACATGGCCATACTGCAGGACGGGCTCCGCCTCGAGGTCCCAGCATGCTCTGCTCCAGCAGGTAGAGGTCGACCACGGCCATTGTGCTCACTGTCACCAGAGTAGACACGCACACCTGGGGCGAGGGCAACATGCTTGAGGAAGAAGGAGAAACAAGGACATAGTCAGACTCTGATGACTCATTAAGAAAAGAGACGAGGATGGTTGTAGAGGTTATATCCTGATAAGGACATGGCCTGCATGATTATGTGCTATTACTAGGCTGGAATGTACAGAGAAAAGTGCAATTTCTGAGTAAATTGACCATATACCTTCAAAGCCTTGAAAGTGCATATACGTATTACTATTTATGGCCTTCTAGTCCATTTTTATGGACTGAGCAAATTGCATGATTTTCTGCAACGTGCAGGTCAACAATAGACTATTCATGCTTTCCCTTGAAGCAGCTTCATTGTTTGGCAATGTTTAAATAGGAGAGGTTTTCTTTTTCTGCCTTAATATCAAAGGTAGTTGCTGAATTTCGTTACCGAAGGTCTTGACAAATGTAGTTTGCAATCCTGTTTGTGGCAGTACAGAGTATAAGCATTTGCTTGTTTTAGACAGGGTGTTAGGGTGATCAGGGTCTTTTTTATCACTTCATTAACAAGCATATCTTTTCTGCTTCCAGTCTAATTTATTTTTCCCAGTTGATGCCTCAGATATAATAGAACATGCCAGAATTTCTCTTTCGCTCTTTGTGTCTTTCTAAATATGATTTTTCAACTCATGAAAATTTTCAAGTGTCCCAGGTTTTCTGCATAATATATAGCACTTATGTCAACCCGTGTTCCCTTATTAATTAATTATATTGAAGGGAACCCAGACACACTTTCAAAGCCTCCTTTCCTCATGGCTTGCCTTCCGTGCTGGTTTTCTGTCACACATTGCAGTATTTAATTGTCTTTGGTTTCTGTATGAAGCATGACTTGATCAAGTCTAATTCACTGGCTCCTTTTACAAAATGAAGCTTCTGAGTGCATTGGGCTACCTGCAAAATGGCGATGCCCAAACTTAATACTGTCCGAGAGGTGTTGTAATAACACTGCATACTGATGTTGATTTTATTTATGTTTCCTCAGGCCATATTTCAGAAACGGACAGTGTAAAACTGTGGTATTGATTAATGTAGAGAAATGATTGTGAGCTTTATGGTGAAATCGAATGCAGGCCTTCTCAGCCGGATGAACTCAATGGCTGGTGCACTATAGCTGTCTGACCATTTGTTTCTGATGTAAATGTCAACACCTCAGATTGATGGCTTTTTAAATATAAAAATCATTACTGTTGTGGCTATACAGGTGTCAACAGGGTTTAAGATACATGTTTGCTACATTTTTATTTTATTGGATTTTTGAGCTTAGATGTTACAACTACATCATGAATGATTCAAAATGGCCCAAAAATGGATGATATGAAGGGGGAGTCAATTATGACAGAATTGTCATTTTTGACAATTAGGTGAGGATACATAGGGAGAAAGTGTTAAATGGTGAGGTGAAATGGAAATTGAATGGGGTGAGGGATGGCGAGAGCATGATGGTGATTCATTCCCTTGGCTTTTTACAGACCTAATAAAGTGTTACAGTATGATGGTAATAGTTCATAAATAAGCTGAGGGAAATGAAGGATAGAGTGACGAGTATAACACAAAAAGCACAGGCGATGTGCTTTGGGAAAAAGGAGATGTTATGTTAGAGAATTGTTGATGAGAATGGAAATGGAAATATATTCATAGCTTGGGAACTGTAGACATTAAACACATTAATAGGAAGTGTGGAGGAAATGAAGGGAGTATGTTGGTAAATGACCTAGAATGATTAATCTTCTGTGAGCTCTGTGGAATGAAAAGGGAGTGTGTGTCACTAATATCTGATTTTGACTGTAGACTTTATTTTTGTCTCTGTTACTGATTTTCTGCATTGGAATTCAATTGAATCCAATAGTCTCAGACTATGAGTGTTGAACTCAGGCCAAAGAAAAATGCTTCTGCAAAGGACACATTTCTTTTTCAATCAGAAAAATGATAGAAGTTGTTTTAAAACAAAAAATAATTGAAACCCAGAAGGCTTGCCTGTAGGTGCAGAGCTTATCTTTTGACTCCACTGTCAGCCCATAATTCATCAAGTTATCAAGTCACTTGGAAGATACTGTGTTGTTTTCTGCAGGCACATTCATAATAACTAGACATCAGCACTGACAGTCAGTGCATCCTTAAGCATAAGTGATGGCTTAAGGCTGCTGGTTACAGTGCATAATTTATGCAATTTTGCTGTACAAATGTGTTCTTTGATCTGCACTTGTATTTAGTAAGCCACCGAAAGATGTGCCTTGAATAGTCTTTTGATGTACAGGCACTAATGCATCTTATATTCAGTATGCATATGCTTTGAATGTTGCAATCTAACGATCATTTTATTGTGTCTAAAAGCAGAATTAAATCAAAATTCTCCATATCAGATACTTAAACATAATAACTAACCTATATTGGCAATTTGAGTCTCAGTAGTTTTAAAGGGATATAATTCACCCAGAAGAAGTCATTTTGAAGAATATTGGTAACCAAACTGTTAAAAAAAGAGACATGAAAAGAAAAGTCATACAGGTTTGGAATGACATGAGGGTGAATAAATGATGACAGAATTGTGAACTATGCCTGCAGTGTTTTATTTAGAGGATATGAAGTAGCCTAATGTATGACAATGTGAGAAGAAATGTAAAAGCTTCTCCTAATTAACACTCGAAAGTGACGGTCAATTTTGTAAATGTTTAATTGCTGTGTGCAAGTGCCCATGATCACGTCTACCTCTCATTCTTGGAGATACTCTCTGCTGGACTCATGCCACATGCCCTCATTTACGAGTAAACGGCTGAAAATGTCCGTCGGTAATGTGCCATTGAACCATTCCCACACAGAGAAGATCATCTGTACAGTGAGAGCATCAGTGTTCGCGAATAAATGGCATCATCTGTCTTGATGCTTGTAAGTGTCGTGCTGCTGCCACTGCAGGACATGTGTGATCAGACCTGTACCACTTCAGTATATCACCATATTGCGACAGGTGTCAATGCATTAGGATCTGCCCATCCGAATTGGCAGGTGTCAATCTTGTCAGCAGTGAAACATTTGAACTTTCAGACTTGAAGGCTGCATGAATAATTGAATATCAAGTTGCAAGAGAGCTGAACTTCATGTAAGCAGGATTAGATGAAGTAGATAGTGTATTTACCCCACAGCATGAAGACTTCACACAGCAGTCTCAATCTAGTGACCAGCGCAAACCTGCAGGCATCAAGACGATATTATCTGAATCCAGTGTCCAAAATCGCGCCAGTAGGCTAATAACACTGCACGGCTGCTCAGCATAACTAAACGTGGAAAATAATCCAAAGAAGTCAACCACACCGAGCTCAAAGACTACATTGTCCATAATATAAACCCTGGCGTGCAGTTTATTCGGGCGAATTAGTGATGAGGAAAGCAGCCTTTCTGTCTCCTGACTTTCTTTGTCGCAAAATCCTTATATAATCGGCATGGGGTTTATTCTATTCTCTCGACTCGAGCTCCAGCAGGATCCTTCGCGCTCCATCCAGACTCTCAGGCGGCTGCGATGGAGCTTTTTTGTGGGCTGAGGAGTAGAAGTCCCTCAGAAGTGCGCTAGAAACGTCTTATCCGCTAAATCAGTAACAGAAGCCGCTGTTCTCCGAGTATCTCGATGTCTTCTTCTTACTTCACTAACGAAAAGGCGCGAAAGAACGCGCCGCGAGACTGTTTATGATTGCAGTGTGTCATTTGTAGGCAGCTGACGTGCACTTGTACCCCTCCCTCCGCTCGCTCTCTAACTCTACCGCTTAAGCTGCTTCTCTTTAAGCCTCTCGGATTTCACTTCAGATAGCAAGCGGGGATATTTGAATGGCCTCGTGCATATTACATGGGAGTCAGCATCCGGAAGGGTCCGCGCTACTAATTACTGCTGCTAGTGCAATCATTGCTATGATAATTACATTGTTCCAGGCTGGAGAAAACAACACCCCCGATGTCCCTGCTGTTAGTGACGAATGATTGTGTGCTGAGATGAACTAGAAGGTCCTTTCAGATTGGTTATTTGTCATTTAACAAACCCTTTTTTTTATGTAGAATAACTAATTGCATGGATGGTCCCCTGGGTTAACTGTCTGGCTGAAGATGGGTGACTGCATTGCATAGATTACTAATGCAGTCTTTGTATTATAAGGTGCACTCAGTATTTTTTTTTTATCGCTGTATGTAAATTTTATATTTAAAGAATACATTTTTAAAAATCATGTACAGGCACATCAGCGGCCTAATAAAAGCGGATTTATTTTTTGGGAAACGGGTCACCTATAGACCTACTTCTATGCCCGTATTTCGAGGTATTGTAGGTAATACAAAAAAGATCTGCACAGTGTTATTCTCCCTTTATTTAGAAAAAGTTAAAAGTGGCAACCTTTCGGTCAAAGACCTTTGTCAGGCACACGTGTTATTAGGCATTGTAGATAGACAATTCCAATTTAGTCCCCTGTAGCTTAAGCAACTATATCTCACATTTTGATCATGGTCAGACAATCGATGCTTATGCTTTAAGATCAAAACACATTTGTCAGTATCTTTTGTGTCTTTATGGATGCAATTAATGCTCCAACACCACCCACGCCTAGAAACTTTGTTTTGCAACTATTGGGGCCAATTATAAAAATATTTGTGGCTGAATCATTTGGACCTGGAAGCAACAAGATTTTCTATATATCTACCAATTCCTGTGAGCCAGGCAATCATAATTCTTGAAATATCATACTCTAAACATGACATCCCAGATAAGACATTTGTTGGAAATAATGAATACTTCAGGGGGCTGAAAAAATATGAAATGCTGAAGAAACAAGCAAGCTGTGAACATAATATGGTTCAACATCAGCCCTATCTAATTTTACACGCACTGGGCACTTTGGAAAAAATACACACATCGGCCCATTTTAATTATGTAGAATAAGGAGGAAAAGTTGAGGTGGAAACTTAATATTAATGAGTCGGTAGGAACTGCTCTTGCATGATCAGAGCACCAGTGTGACAGGAGATTGAGCTGAATCTCGTTATCTGTAAAATTTCTGACAGGCCAGTTTCCGTTCTCTTTGTGGCCTATGTGAAATCAAAGGTTACTTCTCTTGTATTTTTTCTTTACAATGTTCACCTCATTTATTCATGGTGAGGGGTCATCTTGGAGTTTTAATCAGCCAGATGGGAAAGAAAGGCATAGAGAAGGCAAAGTCATCTTTCTTGTCACAGTCGTCTATGCGCACCACTGGTTTCCAGACATTTTCCATTCCTTACCTTCTATATTTTTTTCGTATTTTTTAGCCCCACCCACAACTTCATTCTCCCTCTCCATCTCTATCGCCATCTCTCTCACTCGCTCTCTCTCTCCCCGTGGGGCTGAAGTGGTTGAAGGTCACTCTGATCTGGATAGCTTTCAGCACGGAGGGAGTGAGAACGGCGGAGAAAATGAGACAAGAGTCCAGCAGTGCACAGTCAACACTTTCGCCCCCATAAATTTGGTAAAGACTTTTATAAAAAAATGCCTTTTGGAAATGTTACGGGCCTGATTGGTGCCCCAGGTGTGCACTGGCAGAAGTTCGTCCCAAGACATTCCTCACTGCATCCATCTGCTACGCATTAGAGCTCTTAGCTGACACCACACATGCTCTCCAGCCACAGTGAAACAGTCTGTCTTACAGATTGGAAGATTCTCCCAATGAGCGCACGGCTTGATATACTGTTTTTGATCATAAATCAATACCTTAAAGTCCTCCCTTTTTTTCCCGGAACTTAAAATATCTATAAATCTTACTATTAAAACCAACCCTGGCTCAACTGATAATGATACTCGGTTAATTATCAGTCTTCCTGATTAACCAACTGCAATGTTGCAGAGCTCTGATAAGATAAGACATTCTCTGATGCGATGTAATTCTCTGAAGAGTGGGTCTGAGGAATTGGGCTCTTTACTTTAATAACATACGTTTAATGAAATCTTTTCACACTCGCTGATTTCAATCAGACGTTAGACATCGGCACAGATACATACGGCTCCCTCAGAGCATTTATTGTCCCTTTTAACTTTTCAATGCCGCGGAGTCTCATGCTGTGTCTTAGACCTTCACCCTGCGTTTTAATATCCGTAAATAAATCTGTTTCTTTTGCTGTAATAAACCGATTTCAAGGCAGCACACCTCATATTCAAGGACACGGTGAGGCTGCATCCTCATCTAGAGGAGCAACATGTTATTTTTTTCTTCCGACTGAAGTAGGTATAGCTATCAATATTGACTGAAGAAAGGCACCGTAAAATTGACCCGAAAATAATGTGTCCCCAGTGGCACGTCTCGCCCTGTGGCATTCGCTTTGAACGCATTAATCATCACTGTTTGTACTTTAAAAAAAAAAAAAAAAGCGAGTGATGTGTTTGAGGTTACAGGGGAATTTGGGATGATCAAAGATAAAGCCATTAGCCATTCTGACAAACTTTTATGTTAGGATTCCACAATATCAGATGCAAACATTCTGTGATCGCCCGTGGATCATTAATCCTTTTTGCCCATTTCTCTCCTGGGGTCTCCAACTGCATGTCGGGCTGGACTGGTTGGAGGGTCTGAGGCTAATCAGCTGTATGACACCCTTATAGGGAAGAATGTAATAAAATGGGAAGAGTTCAGCACATTGAATTAGGAGAAGTAATTAATTAGAGTGTCTCACACTGCAGAGTTTAATTAACCCCTCTTCTACACCCCCCATCTTTCAGGACTCTGGCGTGGGCAATGAATTGCCCGTCCTTGGGTGCCAGGGGCAATTAATCCTGCCTGCTGCCCTGAGGCCACGTCCCCTGTCATGCTTGTGTACACACGCCCTTTTTGGCACTTCTGTTTCACTCACCGTTACATATCAGTGCGCACGAGGAAGGAACATGCAGTGTTTTCTAAATCCCACACAAAGAGAGCCCTCTAAAAGAAACTGTAGTAATGCTCTCCCACTTCTTTATCTCACTCTTTACTCTTTATATCCTTTTGTTTCTTATTGTCTGTATCGTAGAAGGATAGTCCACTCTACAATGAAAATTCATTCATCATTCTGTCATCATCTGCTCACCCACATGTTGTTCCGAACCTGTATGACTTTCTTTACGTTCATCGAACACAAAAGGAGTTGTTCTATTAGTCGCACAGAGATATTGGATGACTACATGAGACTTAGAATATAACACTATACAGGCCACTTTAATGCAATGTTGTTATTGTTAACTAAAACGATATGAAATAGAGTTCAAATATTAGATGAAGAACTTAAAAAAAACATTTTTTTTAAACTTTAACAAAAATTAAGAATGTTTCATTATAGGCTACTACCTATAATGAAATAAGTTGGAACTACTAAAAATGACTAAAATTAAATATAAAAAATGAAGGCTAATTGGAAATATAAAAAAATGAATAATACTGATGAAATCACATTAAAAAAATGACAAGCACAAAATTACTAAAACATAATTACCAAATTGAAATGAAAACAGAAACTATATATGTAAAAGCAATTCAAAATATTAAAGGGGTCATATGATGCTGCTAAAAAGAACAGTATTTTGTGTATTTGGTGTAATCAAATGTGTTTATGCGGTTTAAGGTAAAAAAAAAACATTATTTTCCACATACTGTACATTATTGTTTCTCCTCTATGCCCCGCCTTTCTGAAACGCGTCGATTTTTACAAAGCTCATCGGTCTGAAAAAGCGAGGTGTGCTGTGATTGGCCAGCTATCCAGTGAGTTGTGATTGGCTGAATATCTCAAGCGTTGACGGAAATGTTACGCCCCTTGCCATATTGTGATGATGCCCTGTCAGGCCAGAGCGATGATTCAAAAACATGAAAACCCATTATAAACGAGGCATTCATTGCATCCAGTGGGTACATAATTATGGATTATAATGACTTATACTGTCTTTTTACACATTGCGTTGCATCGTGCCGCGTAAACATAAAACCATGTCTGCTTTTGTGATCGGAGAAATGACAAAACAACAAGCACTACTCTACACTGCCCAAAAAACTCGCTTTAAATATATAAAATATAAAAGGTGTACTTACAGTCTTTGAGTCAGAACAGCCGGCAGTATACTCTTCCAGGATCAGGAAACAGTCCTCCATAAAATGTGCTGCACACATCTGAATATTTGGGTTGAAGTGTTCTGGAACAGTGTTGTAAATACAACTTAACCACTGATTTCTAGTCGTGCTCGGCGATTTCGACGAAGGAGTGTCCGGAAGGACATGTGACGACTCCGGGCTGGACTCCGCTCTGTCCACGGTGAAAGCCGATCCGACGATCCACAGCGCAAAGTTGTAGTATTTCCTCAGCAACCAGCATGGATCAGCTCCAGGCATGACGAAGCAGATATCGTCCTCTTTTGGAAGACCAAACAAAGTAGTTTCGCTTTCACAAGGAAGCACACAGCGTCTTTACGACATGGTGGCGGAAACAACAAAACTACAGCGAGAATAAAAGTTACGCCTTCTTTCTTTGCGTGAACATTTGGGCGGCGTTATGCAAATCTTTCCACATAGTGAGGTAGATATGTGGGGGCGTGTTAGAACGAGCCGTTTTAGGAAGGCATGGTTGACTCTTATCTTTTATAAAGAATATCTCTTTGGATTTGAGACTTTAGTCTTTGCAACTTTACAGATCTTTTTTATGCACCAAGAGCTTGTAACACTCCAAAGAGAAAGGAAAAATTTAAATCGCATCATATGACCCCTTTAATAAATGCTATATTAGTATATAAATAATATTAAAATAACACTGCTTTAATGAATTTTACGGTACTTTTGTATGATTTTTGTTAAGCTTGGAACCTTTTGCTGCTTTTCATTGTAATTCCATGGAAAACTTCTCTGTTTGTGTTTTGCAGATTTCACAAAAGTTACACCAGCATTAGGGAGAATGAAGCATAAATAACACAATTACATTTTTGTTTTGGTGCACAATCCTTTTAAGTGCCTCGTTTTGCTATAATTTCATTTTATATATATATAGCAATTCCCATCACTGAAGTCTTTTGTCCAGCATCTTCTGTCCTTTCTTATGTGAACTGTTAACCATTTTAATTAGCTTAATTTCTTATTCATGCATTTAATTATGCAGGTTTTCACTTAGTTGGAAGTCACACTGTCCTCTAATGCCTTCTCCTCAGAGGCTTTGCTGTAAAGTGATTGAACCACTTGAACCCACCACCGTGCTCCTTTTCCTTTTGCTTCTCTTTAATGGCATGAGCTCGCAGCCCTCACACATGCATTCTTTATTCATGCGGGTCCCCTATGTCCTCTCCATACATCAGCGCTCTGAAGCCTTTCACCCGCTTTGTCAAACGGACCTCCTGAATGTTAGTATTGATCTTCATTATTGCTCTCATAGGAGACATGACTCGAACGAAACACTGTTCTTCTCTGTCCTCACAGAAAATATGCACGTGTGTGCAATATTATTAGACACACTTATATATGTGCCCCTCAATCTGTTACTTCAGCTGCCTGAAACAACTGTTAATTTCTGAGTCTGTTCTCACTCTTTTTGTCATTCATACATGTCAGCGGCCATCTCGTTAAAAAGAATTGCTGAAGCTGAAAGCTTACGTTATAATAATGAAAGAAATGCAAAGTGGGAGAACTGATGAAAAGAATAAATAAAGGAGGAGATGTTTTGTGAATCACAAACGCAATTCGAATGCAGATGCCATGCACAACATATATTAGATGAAGGGGTTTTTAGTCTGGTTATTAAATTATTCCCCCTGTTAGAGAGTTGTTTGTCTCCCAAGAACATATTTCATAACAAATTGATCTATAAGCATGATTATTTTGAAAGCATTCGTGACTGGTTATCTTCTCACACAATTCACCCAGGATTTTTCTTCCATCAGAACCTTCACTGTGAATGGCTGCTTTATTCTAGAGGATATTGATATGATAAACACTTTTAATATTCATCTGCGATAATAAATAATGTGCAGTGTCCAAGGTTGGTAGCACGCCTCCCATCAAGGTGATGTACTGCAGCCATTTTGTTCTTCCTAGCCCTGCTTTTATCAAACACATTTGAGGAAAGAGGAGGTTTAATTGGACTGCTTGACTTCTGGATGATTAGATCTTGGTTTTTAGAGCGCTAGACTGGCAATTTGGCCTGCGCTCGAAAGTGAATGTATCTGCCATTAAAGGCACAACGTCTTGGTCATCCGAAACTTATATCGTAAAGATTGCCAGAGTAATAAAGGTGATGTACTGCAGCCATTTTGTTCTTCCTAGCCCTGCTTTTATCAAACACATTTGAGGAAAGAGGAGGTTTAATTGGACTGCTTGACTTCTGGATGATTAGATCTTGGTTTTTAGAGAGCTTGACTGGCAATTTGGCCTGCGCTCGAAAGTGAATGTATCTGCCATTAAAGGCACAACGTCTTGGTCATCCGAAGCTTATATCGTAAAGATTGCCAGAGTAATCTTCATCTTCATGCCATGTCTTTTCAACCAACGACACATTCCCATTTTTATAATGGCCACACTTATGATATTAAAAGCACTACACAAAGCGCAATTACTATGGTTTCTTCCATTGTACCTGTCTTTGTTTGGCACAGTTTGAATGTCTTGTGCGTCTGATGTCAGTACACCGCCATAACCTTTCATCCTTGTTGCCTGCCTGCTTCCCCCCCATCATCAGATGGCCGCTTCCTCACAGATCTGTCCGCATCTCACCTAGTGGCTTTGCTTGAACTTCTTTCAGACCAAAAACAACAACTTTAAAGGGAGTTATAAAGCAGCGGGTGGAAAAAACGAAGTAGAAGCGGTGTGGAATCGCAGCCCAAGGGTTTTTGAGGCTCTCCTAACAACCTAGGTTTAATATTAATCCATATTTAATTAGGAATCACCCGCCGCCTTTCTTGTTTACTTAGATCTGTTGTTCTCGCTGAAGTCAGAGCTCGGGGAGATGCTAGTGGGGTTGACATGGGATTACTATTAATAACCAAGTCAGGAGGGAGATGGGCTGCCTGCCATCTGGGGCTTTTGTTTTTCATTTCATTAGTGTTGAAAATGTTTTGATTATTATGCAACGTACTGGCTGAACAGTAATACCTCTGGATTTAAGGGGAAATATTTACTGTTCTCGCATGACAGTGTTTGCTTTAAATGATCTGAAAAGATTGCATCAGTATTTATTTAGAAGTTAGGCTCAAACATCAATGGCGCTTTGAAGGAAGTTCTTTACAAATGTACTTTGCGCTAAAAGGTGCTGTTTATCTTGGCCCGTATATCACATAAGGGATGTATCTTTGACTTTGCCAAAAAGTCTGTTATATTTTGGAGCTTATTTTGGCCAAGAACCGCCTACTCTCAGGAAAGGTCTGACTGGCCTATTTAAAGCGACTAAGCTCGGTTAATTTTGTTTTAACATGCTGTTCAGGGAAGAGTGTTTGCTTTAAATGATCTGAAAAGATTGCATCAGTATTTATTTAGAAGTTAGGCTCAAACATCAATGGCACTTTACAAAGTTCTTTACAAATGTACTTTGCGCCAAAAGGTGCTGTTTATCTTGGCCCGTATATCACATAAGGGATGTATCTTTGACTTTGCCAAAAAGTCTGTTATATTTTGGAGCTTATTTTGGCCAAGAACCGCCTACTCTCAGGAAAGGTCTGACTGGCCTATTTAAAGCGACTAAGCTCGGTTAATTTTGTTTTAACATGCTGTTCAGGGAAATTTGTTTATCTGAAATGCATAACAGTTTGTGCAAAATTTAGAATTCCATTTCAGTTAATCCCATCATTAGCTTAGTTAAAAATTCCATTTATATAAATTTCTAATGATTTCTGAATACCACAAATCCCTGGTTGATGCCTCGAAAAAAACTAAGTCATATAATTGCTCAGCAGTCTGTGATCATGTATACAGAAAAGTTAGTGAAATACACTACAGCTTTGGGGTCAGTAAGTTTTTTTTAAAAGACATTAATACTTCTTTAAACAACAAAAATGCATGAAATTGATCAAAAGTGACAGTAAAGAGTTCATAAAGTTTAAGACACTTTTTTTTATTTCAAATGCTGATTTTGAACTTTCTTTTCATTAAATAATCCTGAAAAAAATCTGTCATGTATCCACAAAAATATTAAACGGTACAGTATTAAACAATTTTTCAACAATGATAATAATAAATGTTTCTTGAGCACTAAATCAGCATATTAGAATGATTTCTGAAAGATCATGTGACACTGAAGACTGGAGTAATGATGCTGAAAATGAAGCTTTGCATCACATTAATAAATTACATTTCAAAATAGCATGTTTTAAATTGTAATAATATTTCACAGTATTACTTTTTACTGTATTTAGATCAAATAAATGTAGCCTTCGCCTAAAAGACATCTTTCAATTACATGATAACAAATGTTGGAATGATAGTGTATATTAATATGACTTAGAAATCAGAATTTATGTCCATCTAATAGTAATTAGTACAAATAATTTCTTATAAAACGGATAGTTCCAGTCCTTGATTCTGATTGGTTGAGCCGCGTTCTAAGCTGTTGTAAATTGCTCTACAAACATGCACCTTTATTTATGTCTGTGTTTTGCTCGACAACTACATTGTTTGGCGGAAGAATAATGTTTTTATTAATATCATTACACTTCATTTGCGTTTTATTTTGTGAACCTTACTACGTATATGGAATAATCGTTTTATAAAAGCAATAAGCCCCGTGAAGCCATAGTTTACAGTGAATTTATTTATAAATTCACTGTAAACCACGGCTTCTTGGGGCTCATTGCTTTAACAGACATAACTCTGAAACATCCACTATTACAATTCTACATATTTATATATTTGCTATGATCTTATGCCACTCATTTGCCAGTTTTTGGCATTTATCAGTGCCATATGCATCAAACTGTCAGTGCATTAACTGAGGGAGATCATATCCGTGAGTGTGGTGTCTCATTGAAACTGCTTTAGCAGCCCTTTCCTAATAGTTCCGACTGTCAAATAAATCTCTGTAACATCTACCACAGGATAAAACAATTGTTTCAGTCACAATGGATCCTTCAAGTGCAAAGAAAACTTTTACAACTGTAATAAGATTACAGATTAGCAGCCGCCTCCACAGTCAACCCACAGAAAACACTCATGATCTGGTGAAGCCGCACAGGAGAAATGGCAGCCAATGTTGACTTAATGTCAGCTATACATTTAGCTTTCTGCCTGGCAAGGGCCAGGAAAGAGAATCTAATTTATCTGGAGTCTCAGAGGCATGATGACTGCCATACTCTGACATACACACACACACACACACATATACTCAGACCCTTGGGTAAATAGGCTTTCACTAGCCTCTCTCATTCGCTTTCTCACTCACTCACGCAGGCATCCAAGCATGCCGAGGCATTCACAGTGCACCAATGAGTTATTGAATGATTGACACCATGCAGCCACTCTAAATGGCTATTGGTATTCATCAAAAGAATGCCACAGTGAACAACGGGCTAAAATAGGTGTGGGTCTAAACCTTTCTGAATGTTCTTCCTATGCCTTCTTTTCCAGAAAGGAATTCCCATCGGGGCTTTCTGCAAAGACTTCAATGAGAAAACCAAAGAGCTCAAAGAAGGCATTCCTCTTCCCATCAAGATCAATGTGAAGGTAATGTAACCACTCATTAGGAATACTGTTTTCACGTCAACACCACTTTACCAATCAGTCACAGATGTGAAGTTTTGAGGGCCTCATAATACACCTTATTGCTTTCAATCAATCTTGCTCTCATTTGTTTTGCTGCTTGTTTTCTCATTTTATGAGTCCCTGGAGGTGCTCGTTTACATTCGTATCCCAGGCACATTAGCAAACAGCGTTAGATGCGTCTCGAATGCCAAAGCGCAGATTAGGCCTTCTTCTGACATTATGATCAAATGAAGGTATTGAGCGAAGTGGATTAAACAGAAGAACAGAGCTTTCCCGATCGGAGCGTGACTCGTAAATGAGGAATAGTCATTGATGCGGCATATGTAATGTTCATCTGGCCTAGGTTTATCTCACCGCTCACCTTCTCAGCATGTTTATTATAATGTTTTTGTCAAGGACACACTTTTGTGCTTGAAGGCAAAGCTTGTAAATGTACTCCAACTCCAAGTTTCTTGGAGAAATGGGGCCGTTTGATGGATCCCTCAAGTGTATGCATTAGCAGCTTTTTCCCTGACACCTTTTAGTCTTTGTTTCTCTCGTACGATCGCTCTGTCTCTTCTAATCAAGTCTCTCCCATTTTTCATCCACCCTCTGTAACAAAATGAGAGGTCTTGCATTTTCTCCTCATATTCTCAGTCTTTTAAATAAAGAAGGATTGATGGCTGTTAGCAATGCTTGCCGAGTCGACGACGGGGGCATTTAAGCAAAGGCCCATTATGAAGGTTGTGAGAAATTGCTTTTTATTATGGAGGGGTCATTGCTCACAAATTTTAAAGTGGCACGACTGCGTGAAATGAGAGTTCTCATTACAGGTCTCCATCTCTTTTACATTACCGAACTGTTGAAAAGCTCTTGTGTGATTTCAATTGGAAGTCCCAGTTTCGATAACCCTCTGTGTCTGTAAGCGAAATGGGGTGATGCTGTGGCAGTCCAGACGGCGGTGCAGACATTTTGAGGAAATTATATGGCCGCATTATGCTGGGTCACTGCCACCCAATCCAGTCTGGGGTGTTTTAATGTCTCTGGCTCATGTCTAATGCTCGGTCTCAGTCAGAACCCAAACGCATAATCTTTTCTTCTGAGCCGATTAAGCGAATGTCCGTGGTCCAGTTCTGCCAAAGTTTGAATTCAGAGACTTCTGTTGCATAAAGTAGAACTAGACATCTTCAGCAACAATGTCACCTTCATCTAGCTCATCCCTTTGTGTTGTCCTGTCAGACATGGTTGCCCGAGGGTGGGAATTGTCAGCCTTTGTTGTTGGCACTCCTCTGCAGGTACATCAGCTCTCGTTCCAGGACCAGATGCAAGACGTTTTCTGAGGGAGAGAGAGGAAAACGTGCACCTCATGCTGTTGTCATTCATCATTCGTTCTTTGAATACACATGCAACAGCTCACTGTGATTTTTGACTTGTTGGCTTGATAATTTCTCGTGTTTTTTTTGTTGTTTTTTTTACAATAATAATAAATAACTACATTTTACATACTCTGAAGTCTTTGAGTTGTGCTCATCTATGCAAAATTTGCTTATGCATTGGTTGGTTGTCCCTCGTTACCAATGTTCTTTTAAATATACTATTAGTATTTATTAATATGTTGAATTAGTTTTTTTTCCCCAGTATTTAATTGAATATAAGTTTTCATTTTAGCAATTTTGTTGTGTGCTTTTTTTAATATATATATATATATATATATATACAGTGGGGCAAAAAAAGTATTTAGTCAGCCACCAATTGTGCAAGTTCTCCCACTTAAAAAGATGAGAGAGGCCTGTCATTTTCATCATAGGTATACTTCAACTATATATATATATATATATTTTAGGTTCAGTTCTTGAAATTGTAATATTTCAGCCTACACTTGTTTTTAATTTTTGTGTAAGTTTCAGCCTGTACAATTTTAATTATTGTGTAAGTTTCTTACATTTTTTAAATCAAATTTTTATATATTATTTAATTTTTTAGTTAATGAAAATGTTTTTGTTTTAGATAACAATCACAACATACCTTATTTACATGTCTGATTGCTTAGATATGTAGCACTACTCTTCTTAACCAGCTGTCCAAATTTATTATACAAGTTACATATCCAATTGTAAATCTTTATTAAACAAATATCTAGGGCTGTCACGATTCCTCGATTCAATTCGAGTACTCGATTTGAAAAAATCCTTGATTGCATTTTGCCCGCGTCGAGTAACCGGTATCATAACAAAGGCTGACTTTGATCATACATCAATATCTTTCCATTGCAATTTCAAAATAAAGGTTTTTTACTATTGTTTTAACTATTTAGTTAGTTAATCAGTTAGTGTCTTTCTCACCCAACATAAAGGCACTTTGCAGTGCATAAAGAAATACAAGAGCACTGGAGTAAATAAAAAAGAATGGTAAGCAAAGAGAGGAAGAACTGTGTACACTTAAACTTTATACTTTTAGTTTTATGCAGTATTTATGAGACTCTTAAAGGAACAGGTCATTCCAAAATAAAAATTGTCATCATTTACTAACCCTCATGTCGTTCCAAACTCGTGTGATTTTCTTTATTTTGTATGAAAAACAACATTGTGAGCATTCTTAAGAAAGCCTCAACAATGAAAATATATGAAGACCAAGCTACAAAAAGGAAAAAGGGCAAAATAAAAAGAGTCAAAATGACTCGTGTACTGTATTGCAGGCCATTGCATAGAATATAGAAGTTCGGACATCCTGCTATAAATACTGTCTTTATGTTCCTCAAAAGATAAAGGCAGACATGTTTCAAAGGACATGAGGTTGAGTAAATGATGACAGAATGTTTATTTATTGGGTGAACTATTCTTTCAAGACATGTGGAATATAAAACTCCCATTGCCAAACTTATATTATTTATGATTTTTTTTACTTTTTATGATTCATTCTTCGAGTCCTACAGGCAGATTAGGCCCTAAAGCTAGCGTCCTCTCACTATACTGATGAGCATTCGACAGGGATTGAAGATTAGCCTGTGCTACATGATCCTTAGCTCCAGGGGGTGTAGAGAATATTCTGGTCGAGTTCGCAGCACAATGCTTGCTTTAGGCTTGAGCCGGATGGCTGCAATGCATTTTAGCCAGGCTGTCTCCCCAAGTCAGACTGCCTGTGAAGTCCCAGTTGTCCCATTAAGCTGTCTGCTGCACACTCATTGTTTTTGAGCCTCTCTATGCAGACTAATCCCTGCCTTAAAGCTTTGGTTTCGGCAGGCCTGACTGTCGAGGGTGTGTGCCGGGGGAACGGAGGGTGTGGATGTGTGCGTCTGGCTTCACTCGACTCGATTCTGAGTTTATGAGAGGCTGTCAGAGTCTGTGGATGCCAATGAGGTTCTGTCAGGCTCCAGAGACTCTGTTGGATGCTATAGGATTTTAGCTCCTCTCGCTCTCGAAGAGGATAGTGTTAGTGATACCACCCGCTATGTGCAATGAGACTGATAGACTGAGAGCGATAGCTTGACGCCCACAAATCCGAAAACTAAAATAACCTTCTGTTCCCGCAGTCTCGACAGATAATCGTCATAAACAAACTCAACTTGCAATCCATAAGGTTGCAGATTTACCTGCAGTGCACAAGGGTTTTCTCAGATATTGTAAGCTTTATTTATCATTTATTATGTATTTTTTTTAATGATTTTATGACACTGACATTTTACTTAATTTAGATGCTATTCACACAACATGGGTTTAATTCACATTTTCTCTTTTTCTTTTGTTGGCAAGCAAAGCTTTTTATAATGTATGCTCTTATAGTGAGCACACCTCTTCTTCTTCTTTTTTTTTTGAGGGGGCAACAGTTGCAGTCCTGGTTCAGGTGGTGCCTTAGGCATGATAAGACACCAAAGGGAAAAACTACTTTTTAATGACTTCTATTGGTTCTTTGTAAGAAAACAAACCAAGCAAAATTGCCACTAAACTTGGCAGCCAGTGATCACCAAGCATTTTAGTTTTATGGAAAAGAACAAGCTTTTCTCAGGAATTTTTTTTTGTCTTTTTTTATATAATTTCTACTTTTATTTGTCTTATTTATATAATTTTTACACATCTTATAATGTATTCATTATCATATTTTTTTATATTTCTTCCATATGAATGCATGTAAACCTTTATGTAAATATAAAGTGTTAAAGTCATTTTGATAATTCATTTTGTATTATTAAGTAAAAAGGCTAGATGGGGAATTTAACCCCTTAACTGTCACCCCCCCCATTTTTGTTGTAATTTATGAACACTTTGGAATACAGACATAAGGTTGGTCTCTTTTTAAAGAAGAAAATCAGCAGATTATCGCAAAAGTGGGTTTAAGTATCAAAACGTTATGGAAGTTTAAATTTACTGTACAGAAAATGCACTATATTAATTTTATTGTATATATAATAAATATTTTACATAACAGGTTTTACTCTAAAATTTGTATAAAATTAAAGCCTTATGTCTAAATAAGTTATGTTCCAAATTTGAAGTTGATCTGAAAAAAATTGAGGTTCCTGTGAGATTGTATTTAGGGCGTTATACCACAAATAGCCACCAGGTGCCATCCAAACTCAATTGAATTTTTTAATGCATTTTTCTGTCACAAATGTCTAGATTTTCTCTGTCAATATTACTTCTATCTCAAAACCTAACCACCAAATATGGAATCCTGAGACTCAGACCTTTCCAATGATATGTTTTTTATCAAGATTATAAAAAGGTTTGATTCTAAAAGACTGTAATGCATTTTGTAATATGACACTTGACACCGCCCACTCAGGGGGAGGAGACCGCCAAAAGATTTTAAAGTACCATTTCCATGGTAACGCAATATCCGATTTCAAAATGGTTGTGCTTCTAAGCTTTCAAATGATATATGATTTATAATGATTACTAAAAGATTTGATAGAGAAAAGGGACAACAACAAAAAAGAGCGCCAAGCGTCCCACAGTTAAGCAAAGTTTAATGGCAATTTAAAGCAAATAATTTGTTGACTGTTTTAGACTAATAGTAAATTTCTGTCACAGCATTTTAGACAAACATAATTACCAACGATACAAATGTATACATTACCATTCAAAGTTTTAAGTTCCATTTATCTTACTTCTGTTTAGCAAGATAAATTTAAACTGACCAAAAGTGACAGTAAAGACATTTATAATGTTACAAAAAATTTCAGATAAATGCTGATCTTTTGAATGTTCTATTCATCAAAGAATCCTGAAAAATGTATCACAGTTTCTGAAATATTAAGCAGCAATGTTTTCAACACTGATTATAATAAGAACCATTGTTAATATCTGAGCACTAATAATAATTGATCATAATTCAGCAGCAAATCAACATAGTAGAATGATTTCTGAAGACACTGAAGACTGGCGTAATGATGCTGAAAATTAATCTTTGCCATCACAGGAATAAATTACATTTTAAAATATATTCAAATAGAAAATAGTTCTTTTAAAATGTGATAACATTTAATATTATGGTTTTTCTACTGCATTTTTGATCAAGTAAATGCGGCTTTGGTGAGCATAAGAAGCTTTTAAAACATGAAATCTTACCAAGCCCATTTCTTTGTATGTTTATTGCTTTAATTTTTAATCCACCTACCTCCAAAGTGACCTGAGGGACCTGGGTTAGTTTGAATGGGCGTGATGTTTCTGACTGAGCTTACCCCTCTTTTCTTTCCTCCAGTCGGACAGAACGTATGACCTGAAAATTGGGCAGCCCACTGTGTCTTACTTCTTGAAACAGGCCGCCGGCATTGAAAAAGGAGCCGGAAAGACTGGTAAGCGAGACCTATCACAGCCAGGGCGGCTGTGGCCATACATCCTTCCTTCCATCTCTCAGCAGTCTATTTGTATATCTCGCTACCACCTTATGTTTCAGTAATGGACAGACTTCCCCCTGCAGGGTGTTTTGGCTCAGATTGAATTTTTTGACTGATGATATATTGACGATGAGCTGCACTGGTGGAGAGCTGTGCTTAGACAGGCAAAAAAAAGCAGCCTGTTCTGTTAGCAGAGTCTTGTCTTTTCTTAAACTGAACCTCTTTAATAAATGAACCATGTCACTGAGGCATAAATGCCCAGACCCATTATTTGTGCATGAGGGAAGAGCAATGCTCGCCTTGCATTTCAATCGATTGCTAGAAATGTTTGAAATTCTAATGTAATGTAGATGTATCTGTTGATATGCCTCTAATCTCCGTCTTCTCTGTCTGTTTCCTCTTCTGCCACTCTCACAATGCTCCTCCTCTCCTCTCCTGTCATCCCTCTGTCAGCCTGTCACCAGAAGAGTACGGGCAGTTTCTCCGAGAGCGTGAGGAGAGACTGAAGACAGAAGCCGAGGCAGCAGCCGCTGAGGCAGCAGCAGCAGTAAAGAAGAAATGAAGAGCTGCTGTGTGCTAGAGTTATTTATCAATACGAAACCCCCGCTCACATGGATGTTTTTCTAATAAAATGCTGCTCATTTGCATCCAAATGTATTGAAGTCTATTTTTTTCCTCAGTGTCTCTCATTGTTGATTCTATCCTGCCTCCTGACTTCTCTCTACCTCCCCCACTTTCTCTTTTCTTTTCTCTGCCTCCTACAACCTTTTTTAGGCCTCTCAGCCACTTTCACCTACTCTTTCTCTCGCATTCATTGGCTTACCCGTCTCTCCTAACTATCTCTAATAATACAGGGTTTTTTATAGCTGCTGTGTCTTCTGACATCTTTGCTGAAGTAGATTGCCCTTTGGCAACACTGTGACAAAGGTTGATATGCATTGACAAATAAGGATATTTTTAACACTATATATATTCAGTATATAGCTTTGGGGTTCTATATATATAGATTTGGGTTCTTTCCAGATTTATTTTTATAATAAGCAAGATCTATAGTAAATATAAATTGACAATAATTGGCTGTTTTGCTCTACAAAGTAAATTACACACACCCATACCGAAAACATGAATTTTTTAAGCAGTTATGTTTCTTTTTAAAAACATGTTTTTAGTAACTACATAAGACCGATTGGGGTGTGAGTGTGTGCAGTTTACCACACGCCTTATTTTATTCATGGATTGAAAAACTCCTTTATAAAAACCCATAGGAAAAATCTCATGGGAACCCAAGACGAATTAGTCTTCTGGATTTTGACATCAAGGCTGCAGCACTCTATTCGCATACATTAACAGCTTTAGCCTATAGTACAACCTTTACCTGCATATATACACTCTACTCCCATAAAGTGATATGTTATGTAGCATATATTAACCGCTTGATTCCTTATATTGTTGCAAAATGTAAACTATATTATTGCCCAGCTGTTATCTGCTACATGCAACCAAAAGGTATAACGATATTAAAGGAATGGCACAAAAATGAAAATCTGCTGAAAATGTACTCACTCTCAGGTCATCCAAGATGTAGTAGTTTGTTTCTTCATCAGAACAGATTTGGAGAAATTTAGCATTGCATCACTTGCTCACCAATGGATCCTCTGCAGTGAATGGGTGCCGTCAGAAGGAGAATCCAAACAGCTGATAAAAACATCACAATAATGTACAAGTAATCCATATCTTGTTAAGCGGAAAGCTGCTTGTTTGTAAGAAACAAATCCATCATTAAGGCGTTAACCATCGCATCTGGTCAACATAGGAGTTCATAATCCATAATAATGCTTCCATCAGTGAAAAAGTTTGTCCTCTGTTGTCATCTCGCATCAAAATCCACCAACATATTTGTACAAACTTTTTTGGACTGTTTTCACTTGTAAACGGTGCTTGAGCTTCCATATTTCTCTCCTGATTCAGATGAGACAACCTATTCCCTAAAGACATAAATATGGCTAGAGGATTTGTATTTTAGTCAGAAGCAACAGTTAAAAATGTCTTGATGGATTTGTTTCTTACAAACAGCTTTTTGCTGCCCAAGACATATATTGATGGACTGGACTCATGTGGATTACTTGTGGATTATTGTGATTTTTATCAGATGTTTAGACTGCAGAGGAACCATTTGTGAAGTGATGCTAAATTTCTCCAGATCTGTTCAGATGAAGAAACAAACTCATCTACATCTTAGATGGCCTGAGGGTGACTAAAATGTACAGCAAAAAAATTATAATTTTTGGGTGAACTATTCCTTTAGATATTACAAACAAACATCATGACTGTCTGTTGGGATACAGACTTGACTATTGAGATACAGCTTGGGAAAGAAACCTTGGAAGTGTCAGGCTGTGTAGGCAAAGGGAAAATGTGTAATGGATGTAAATTAGTCTGTGAGTAGCCCGTCTGACCCAGTGACTTCACAAGCACTGTCAAATCACTTTTCTTAAAGTCAAGTGCATTTGTGATTGTTTTCCAAATGCTTGTCGAATGTGAATGAAGGGCAAAGATTTTTTTCTCAGTGAGTACCGCAGTAGACTCTCTCTGATTTGAACAAGATTGTGGTGACTGCACTCTATCCAGGCTTCAGTGACGGAGTGTTCTCCATGTTGCTGACTGCAATTTCACAAGAACAGAGAAGGACGAGAGATGATAACATAAAGAGGATGTGATTTCTCATATGGCCTCTTGTTTTCCCCCCGCTTTGAGGCTCATATCGAGTGATGGCTGTTATATTTGGTGTTTGTAAAGGGCAAAAGGCATCAGAATCTGTATCTTATGCATTAGATGAAGCTTGTCAAAGTGCAGAATGTCACATAAGCCCTGTAGGGATTTAAAGGCAAGAGTCTTTTCCAGACACGGTCATGTGGTCATGTAAGATCCGCAGTGCGTTTTTGCTATACAAATGAGATTTGGTGTTACGTAATTCAACCCCTCTTCATTATTATACACCTGTAGTGAACCCCACACTATACTACCTCCTAAATATTGCAGAAAGTATACAGGACCCCGCTAGTAGGAATCAAAAATAGAGGGTGCTCGCTGCAGAGCCAAATGGGAGGAGCTGGAGCTCTAGCTCCCCCTCGCTGGATGTAATGGGTGGAGCTAGACACCCAACCACTCCCTAACCCTACCCCTTACCCTATCGCTAAACATAACTCCACCCATTAGTTCACACAGAGGTGGAGCTGGACATCCAGAGAGGGGGAGCTGGGGGTCGTTTGGCTCTGCAGCGAGCAGTACTTGCAAAAATATAGCACAGACTTTAGTCAGGGTGGCGCCATGTTTAATTTTTGATAGGAATGAAAATTAGGCTGTGAGAGGTACAGTGTGTTTAGTGGATTCGTACTGTAGTTTAACCCCTTAACAACATGCCAATTATTCAGCTGACAAAACATATTTCTGAAGAAATTTACAGTAGACAAAAACTCCACAAAACTGTTTGAACTAAGCAACCAAAATTCTCTTGATATTTTCACATATAAGAGGTCACTGTACTATAAAAACATCCTGTAAATTTCAGAACTCAGAACTTTCTCGTTAGTCTAAAAACAGCTTATATTGAAGCCAGTCTGCCAAAAGGACAGGTTGTGGAATGTACAGATCTATGATGTGACTGTGACTAAATACCGCCTCAAAGAAGAAGATCAACACCTGCTTCTACATCACTGCCTGTTTAGCCCCGCCCACCAATTCACACATGTAGTGTAAATAACGAGAGGGGCGAATAAGAAACCAAACGATAAAGATGGCTCTGAAGACAAGACGCTGTGCAGTGTTTGCGTTGCCTTCCTTCTGATTCCAGTGTTAGGAAAGAGTGGATGAACTTATTTTTAATGAAGTTCCAGACCGAGTCAGTAAGAACTCGGTCCTCTGTTCCCTTCATTTGACCGCGGATTCGTTTACAAACAGTGCACAATTTGACCTGGGATTTTCAGAAAGATTGAAACTAAAAGACGATGCTTTTGCCGACTATATTGGATCCGATGTCGTACCACACAAGTGTGAGTAACGTAAACTGGTTTTATTACGTAGTCACTGTTGCTTCGTCTGTTACAGATAGTTTGCTATGTAATGAGTATTTATGCGTTTTAACCTAAATCACAAAAAAACTTAAATCACAGTTAAAAACTTGACAAAAACAGCCTATTACTTCTAAATTATTCTTTTTGAATTTAAAATTTGATGTAAAATTCTGGTGGGCTTGCGGCAACCACATGTGGCAACCCCGGGCTGGACTCCGCTTCGTCCACGGTGAAAGCCGATCCTGCGCAAAGTTGTAGTATTTCCTCAGCGACCAGCACAGATCATCTCTGGGCATGACGAAGCGGATATCGTCCTCTTTTGGAAGACCAAACAAAGTAGTTTCGCTTTCACAACAAAACACACAGTGCCTTCATGACATGGTGGCCGCGGCAACAACAAAACTACAGAGAGAATAAAAGTTACGCCTTCTTTCTTTGCGTGAACATTTGGGCGGCGTTATGCAAATCTTCCCACATCGTGATGTAGATATGTGGGGGCGTGATAGAACGAGCCGTTTTAGGAAGGCGTGGTTGACTCTTAACTTTTATAAAGAATATCTCTTTTGGATTTGAGACTTTAGTCTTTGCAACTTTACAGATCTTCTTTATGCACCAAGAGCTTGTAACACTCCAAAGAGAAAGGAAAAAGACCTTTAAGACCTGCACTCATCTAATACGTATCTGTTTTTCTCTCAACTGTTAACTTTCATTTTAGACATATCCAACTGAGTCTATATGTAAACCTTGTGTGTTTTGACAGTATTAGCGCAAAAGATAACTTAGTTCAGTAATCAGGCGCTGTTTGACAGGCTTTTTAATGAATTAAATATTTAAAAGCACATGCAAATAATGTACATTTGTGATTGCAAATAAGTGCAGTGTCCTGTGAGAGTAACTCTACCTCTGAGTTAAAGGGTTAGTTCACCCCAAAATGAAAATTCTGTCATTAATTAGCCTACTCACCCTCATGTCGTTCCAAACCCGTAAGACCTTCGTTCATCTTCAGAACACAAATTAAGATATTTTTGATGAAATGTGAGAGCTCTCAGACCCTGCATAGACAGCAATGCAACTGTAATGTTCCCAGGTCCAGAAATGTAGTAAGGACATCGGGACATTTGTAAAACTGTCCATGTGACATCAGTGGCTCAACTTCAGTTTTGCGAAGCTACAAGAATACTTTTTGAGCGCAAAGAAAACAAAAATAACATAATTTAGTTAACAATTCTTCTCCCCCGAGTTATGTCTTCCGCCATTTTGGAGAGTACCCAAGAGCGTGATCAACGTAATCAGCGTTGTTTACGTTCGGGGAGAAAGCGCGCGCATGAACATAATCTGCGTAATCAGTGTTGTTTACACTTAGGGGAAAGCGTGCGTATACATTGTGATACTCTCTAAAATGGCGGAAGACGTAACTCGGGGGAGAAGAATTGTTGAATTGTTCTTTTTGTTTTTGGGGAAAAACTCTAAAAACACCAACAAAACGGGTCAAAAGGTTTATATTATTAATTCAGCTTGCTTCATAAATTATTTTAAAAAATCCCGACTGCTCCTTTACTTTTAATTAGCAGTTTGATTAAGTCTCCTCATCTGAATTTATTCTGATACCTATTATACCTTTTGTGTTCTGTAGCCTGCCTATTGCATTTCTCTCAGCATTTTTTATAAGTCCGCTTTCTCAGCATGAATATGAATCTTTACATGGAAACGTTATTCATTCCGGTATTTCCATATTGTTTTTCAATTTGGCTTTGTTTCCACTGGGTTTCTCACTGGAGAATGAATAATACTTTCACTTTACAATAAGGTCCCATTAGTTAACGTTAGTTAATTTATTAACTAACAATGAGCCATACATTTGTTACAGTAGCCTATTTATTATTCTTTGTCAGCTTTAGTCAGTTAATAAAAGTGCAGTTGTTCATTTCATGTTAGCTCAGGTCCTTTAAATAATATTAAAATATGTATTTTTTTTTTATTTCAAAATGTATTAGTAGGTTACATGTTGAAATGAACAAACTGAAATTAATAAATGCTTTAGAAGTATTTTTCACTGTTAATTTAAAAATAACTGTAGTTAATTGATTTGAATAAATGGAACCTTATTGTAAACCTGCTTTCTTAATGACTAAATCTGAGCCCCTATTTTATTGTAAAGGCTACATTTGATTCTTTGGACTTTTCATAGAATTGCTATTTAATTCACAGAAGGCTCCTTGAATGTCCACATGGTGGCACTGCATCTTTAAAGACTGTTGCAGGATGCTAACAGACACAGATAATCATGCATTGGTGAGTGTAACTCCCTCCTCTACATCCTGGATGGAGTGTGCTTTGCATATTACTGTGAGCTAAATGTGAGCCTTTAGCCTGAGAATCCAGCTAGATCTGTGTCCCTGTGTGCATATCATTTTCAAACAGGCGTAACTAGGTGCTTTTGTCTAAAATCTGAGACAAATTTCTCAGACTCTTCTCCTCTGATCTTGGCTTCTGACTGATCGTTTTCAAGCCCCAGTGAGTGGCTTTACCTTAATGAGAACTAACCTTTGTCAGCCGCCTCTACTAACTTCAATAGTCTTTCTGCATAATGAATGCAATCAGATATTTTGCTTTTTAAGAGACAAAACAGAGTGTCATCATCATTACATAGCTGTGTGAAAGCCTAAATGAAAGTCATGCCACCCCACAACTGGTGTGCTGTAATTCATGTTACATGTCATGTCACAATCGAAAAAAGACATATGAAAGGAAGTCACTCTTCTATACGTTTAGAGTGGTCTAGTTCTGAGAAAGTATTAGGTCAACTACTAATCTGTCTGTTCGGTATAAGTTCCACTTCCACTTTCTAATTTGTGTGTATTGTATATTTCCACAAGGGGGCATTTTAGTTTCATTGTATGTACCCCTACTAAAATCTTCTCTGTTTGCTATATGGGCCATTCTACAGTACTACAAACTGCTGTCCCACAACCAAAAATCACATTTAAAAAAGCATTTTAGTATTCAAATCTTAGATGTTTAATAAGATCCTTCTATTATCTATTGAAACCCACAATAATATTTAAAATATTAGTAAGCATATAAAATCATCATTTATTGGGTACTTTCAATTGGGAGGTAGCTGTGCCAAACCCTAACCCCTAAATTTCAACTTATGAAAATGATTAAATCAATTTTGTATTTTTTTTCTATTGTTGATTTCAAAAGTATCTTTTTGATTCTTTTAAAAAGTGAAGTTCAAAAAATATTTATTTTATATTTTCTTTGTAAATTATGAAAATTGATGTAAAAAAAAATGTGTCCTGCATGTGTCCTGTCACTAACGAAACGGTGTATGTGTTAGTCCATTGGCCGAGATTGATTTTAACTACACCCCTAAATTTATGATCAGGAAATATTCCTGTGTCCCCCTCTCTCATAGCTACAAGGTGTGAGTAGATAGGCCCCATCATTTTGAGGTAAATGTGTTCAAAAGTCTGAAATATCTGTGTGTAACTTTAAGGAACGTCACTACCGAACACCTTTTTTGTGCAATTAAGCACACTTTTTTGGGAGTTATTCCATAACATTTAGTTTTTATATGTTTACCACTGTTCAGAACTGTGCTAGCTAACCATGTGCTGATTAGCATCTTTGAGCTACGTTCAAAAGTATCTAAAATTGTCGCTACCGAAATAGTCACGACCGAAACATGTCATCATTGTTTCGGTAGTGACAAAATGGAACACATAATCCTCATATTTGGGGGAAATAAACAATTTTTGTACAGTTATACATTTTTTTTGTATTCGTTTTAGTAGTGTTTTAGTACGTGACTTAAAATTCTGTAATGTGATGTGGTCGCTACCAAAGCATTACTGTCACTACCGAAAATGTGCCACTACCGAAAAGTGAGATGCTTTGTCAAAAATAAAGTTTACTGAATTATCAACTAAGATGTTATAATATTTTTGGTTCAGTGTATATTCAAACTAATGAATCCTTAACTTTGAAATCAATATTATCACCTTTTTGCCTTTTACAAAGAACAACAAATCTCATATATTACACTTGAAATATTGTTCAAAATGTAATTGTTATTGATTTACCTCTGAAAAACCTTCAAATAAAATAGCAAAAAGAATATATTTACAATGTAGATGTAAGCAAAATCTTAATAGGTTAATATAACCCTTCTAATTTAATTATTATTACTGTGTTCCGGTAGTGATAAATTTAGGGAGAGGAAATATTCCAAAACTTCTGAAAATCTGAAAATACAATATGAGAATAAACGGCACAATTAATAGAAATGCGTACCTTTATTATATATATATATATATATATATAGATAGATAGATAGATAGATAGATATTATACAATTTGCATTTGCAAAAAAAATTTTTTCCCAAGACATTTCCAACTCTGACTTTGGACCAGTTCTGTAGAATGGCCATATACAAAAACATTGTTTGATTCTTGTTTGATTCCTGAATACTTTCTCTCATTTTTTACAGGGGTGCTACGGAACCAGGGACCATCCACTCAGACACTCAGCCAGTTCAGTATGAACAAGTTATATTTTCTAGGTAACGTGTTAGGTCCCACTTTATATGAAGTGGCCTTAACTACTATGTACTTGCATTTAAATACCTGCATCATAATTACATCTGTAATTAATTTCTGTAATTACATTTATAATTACACCGTTGACCCATCCCTTACACCTTAACCCACCCTTAAACCTTACCCGTATCCCACCTCATTAGCAGCAGAAGTGTTTTGTGATACAATATGAACACAACAAGTGCATTACTTATTTTTTTATGTAAGTACATAGTAGTTCAGGCCACTCATATGAAGTGGGACCACGTGTTATAACAACTTTATCTATCTGTCTATCTGTCTGTCTAGTGGCTGTTCAATTTTGTCGTTTTTATTTTACTGTTTTACTGTAGTTTTTATTTTACTATACAGTAATTATAATAGTAATTTTCAGAAATACGCAGATAGAAAAAAAAACTATGTTCAATGATCTTTCTGTACATCGTAAGCATAGATTTGTGAAATAAAATATATGGTTTATGGGGTGTAATTTTCCCCATTGTTCTAGTTTATGGTTAACAAATGCTGTTATCCTAATTTTAGGATGCTGTATTTTTAGGATTACTACAGAGATGCATTATATTTGACACCAGATGGTGTAAGAGAGCCAATCTGGGTTTCTGTGATACTGTTTAGTCTCAATAAGCTGCAATGGGGGAGCAAAAAGAGGCTGGAACAAAATGTTCACATGCTGACGCACAGCTCTGTTCTACTCTTTTATGACAGATGGTTACTATACTTATGATGCTTGATTATATTTAAGCTCCCCCAGGTGCATTGTGTCTAAAAATAGAAGGAAAGAGGGAGAGAAAGAAAAGAGATAGCGGGGTTGTGCTTTACATAAAAGAGCTAGAATTGTGAGGAGGCTTTGAATCACATCTTTTGTCGACTTTACATCGGTTGCTTTAATTGGCTGACTGGCCCTTGTGCGTTTAATTCATTAGCATAGCAACACAGCTCTCCTCTCTCTCGCTCTCTCTCTCTCTCTCCTTATTGGGAAGGATGCGGGGGGGCTACGTGCGTGTGGCATTCAGTACGTGAGTGCGTCAAAACGGGAAGCTGGCAGTCTGTGAGAGTGCCTCTTTGTCAAGTGTGTGCGTCAGTCTGAGTCAGATAGCGTCTCATCACGAGTGTGCGTCAGTGCTGTTGCTGAGCAGTCTGCGCTCCGGGGAAAGAGTGAGGAGAATGCACTGAAAAGAAGGGATACAGCGACAAGGGTGATGGAGGAATGGGAGCGAGGAAAGGACAGTGGTTGGCAAATGGGAAGGCATTGGGAGGAACTAGAAACCGACACATGAGTACTTTTAAGTGCACTTTAATATAAATGCCTCTGTTTTGACGACCAAATACACTTATCAGCGACACAAAAGAACACTGATCCACAATGTCCATTCTTCATAAATAGCATATGTCAAGTATGTTTTCATCTCATACGATAGAAATGTCTTCGATATGTACAGACCGTTGTTTGTACAAATGTACAAATGATTACAATCTTTAACCGTTCCGCATCATGCCTAGCTAGAGGCATGTGCACCATGCACCCTGTAAATCAGCATACATACAATAAAATACTTTTTGATTTTTAAACTTAGCATGTAAATAGCTAGAACATAGGAATCAATCCTTTACTTGACCGTAGACAACTCTACGTTAGCATGTCGACACCATGGGAATAGAACCATTCTCAACCCGTGTCGATTAGTAACTGAATAGAAATAGAACCCCATCTGTGTTTTCTCGCTCATTTTTTAAAACAAAACTTTGCTTTGTTTTTTTTAACCCCTCTCAAAAAAGAAGAATCGATCATTCACACAGTCATTGTCACCACTCCACACCGCAAACAGCAAAGTTACGATGTCACCGTGGTATTCACTGAATAAAGGTGCTGTTTCTCTTAGGTCGGCAACCTCTTGATGTGCCAGGCACTCAAGAGTTTAAGCAGATTGCAAGCATTACAAATATTGATGCTGCAAAAGTCCAGTGCAATTCCTTCTAGCCATGCCCATTGGAGTAGCCGGTTGAATGGATTCGTTACTCCGTCACTCAGTAGTAGCTAGAAATAAGTCCAGTAATGTCCGTGCATGCAAAGCCATGCACAATATTTTGTCCTTCTCCCTGGCGGCTTCCGCTGCAGCTTGGGTCCACCGGCCAGTAGGAGAACAATGTGAAAACTTGACTTGTCTTGCACACAAAGTGGAATTTGTTCACATTTGTACATCACATTAAAACACATTTGAAATGATATGTCCAAGAATTGCATTCACAAACTCAAAGCCCAATGTAGTCTTAATTCTGTCATTTATAATACTGTTTCTGACATTACAGTTACTGAGCTGGAAGATTGGAGAGCAAAGTGAATCAGCTGTGGGAAACATGCTGATATTGATACTTTTAGAAACTGGTCACTTTTTGAAATGACCAAATATTGATCTATTATGTGAATACATTCCACACATTGGGTTTTGTGTGTGTGATGCTGGATGACAAGCACTGAGCTATTAGCTATCTGTTGTTTCTTACTGAAAGCTTTTTTCATGTCCTCAAAGTTCACAACTGAGTTTTTTCACTACAAGTGAATACAAATGCAAGTCTGTAAGTCAGTTTACACTTACAAAGTCAGAGCTGTAACTCTCACTCATATAAGCTCGTTACATTATAGCAGAAAGACATAAATTGACCTCTTAGTCCTCTTAGGATTTGTTTAAGACTAGTATATTGCATTGCTACCGAAGGGTTGCACTATTATTAACATGAATGAATGGATAATTAGATGAACAATTGTGAACATGACGATTTACTCTCAATGGATTTGAGGAAGTTCAAGTCTTTTTTGGCATTATATACATTATGTATATATTTATACAGTTAATTAATATTCACTTTTCAGCAAAAGTAGCTCCATGAAATATGACAATATGCCATACTTAATGAAGTAAGTCACAGACTTATTTTAGAACGGAGGATCACTTCCACTCCCATCTGAAAGACAAAAAGAAGGAACGGGGAGAAAATGTTAAAACCAATAACAGTTACTCAGTTTGACAAAAATGACAACAAAGCAAAATGATCAGAAAAAGGTTCAGCTTCTCACCTTTGCGGAAGCACTGTTGCGGTGCATGACTTTGGAGTTGATACAACTCAGGTTGTTGCCCCAGGCCGGGGGCGATCGAGGCACCTGCCCCAAACATGGGTTCCAGGGCGGCCAGCTCCTCGAGGAGGGACTGGGCGCAGGGCAGGCCGGGCGATGCGGGGCTGACAGGCGAGGAGACAGGCAACAAAACTGGGGAGGCGGGGAAGGCAGTCAGCTGCAGTGGTGGAGATGTTGGTATGCTCGTGAACAGAGGCGATGATGCTGCCTCTGTCTCCATGGCAACTTCGCCTGCTGCCTTCCCATCTGCCATGTTGCCTGTGTTGACTGACAACATCATAGCCCCTCGCCCGGCCTCATTGTTACAGTGCGCCGATTGGACGCTACAGAAGGGACCGGCACTCACAGCAGAGACCCCGTCAAAGTGCAAGGGTGGGCACCAGCACTCAGGAGTGGAGGGGGAGGAGGGGGGGCTGGAGTGGGAGGAGGAAGAGGGTGTCGGTGAGAGGGGAGGGGAGGATGTGAGGTCCTGCAGAAGGGTCTCCAAGACACTCTCCTCAAACAGAGAGTCATCATCAGGGAAGATGGGCAGGTCCAGGCCTTTCCAAGACTTGAGTGGGTAGAATTCGCCCAACAGTGGGATTGAATCAAGTCCCATAGAATCAAGAGATGGAGACTGAGAGCGTTCAAAAATGGTGGAAGGAACCAGCTTGGTCAGGAGTGGATCTAGGTAGAAGCCCTCTACTAGTGTGCTGATGTGTTGGGCTAAAAGCGAGATCTCCATTCTCTCTTTTTCTCTTTCACGTAGTGAGGAGAAGAAGGGTAGATTGGGCTGTTTTCCAGGTGAGGCTTCAGGTGTGAGGAGACCTTCTGGTGGGTAAGGTAGCGGCCCATGGGGGACATCAACATACAGCGGACCACGGACTTCTGGTAAAGTCATAACTGTGCAGTCACCATCACCTGGACTGTCAGGAGTAGGAGGGAGTTTCTCATAGAGCGACCCACTGCAAGGCTCCACTGGGAAGAGGATCTCTGTGGTTGGAGATGTTATAGTGAGAGGCAAAATAGTTGAGAGTGTTGTCGTTGGAGGAGGAGGTGGGCTGCCTTGTGGGTTCGTTGGCGCAGATGGAGAAAGAGATGGCGCCATCGTCGTGGTTACTGTTGCAGTTGGAGCAAGAGGAGGTGGTGAGGTAGCCCCGGTAGGATCGAAGCTAAAATGAGGTTCCCCAAAGGGGAAATTGCTTCCACCTAGTTGAGGTGTGTATGGGGGTGTGCACTCAAACTCCTTGGTCTCTTGGGCCTGGGAGGTAGGCACAGGTGGAAGAGGAAGGGGCAAGGCTGGTAGAGGAGGATCTATCTGGAATGCTGGTGGCAGCAGAATATTCTGAGTGAGGAAGTCCAAGTCAGACACTGTTGCAACCGTGACTGGAATGGGAGATGATGCAGAAGCAGGACTGGCCACAGGTTCGCTGGGCTCATGTTGGAAGAAGCTCTCCTCTTCCAAAGAGGAGAGACTGGAACGTGGGCCACTCTCCAGTTGTGCAGGCTCCATTGAGGAGCTGCCACCTTGTTCCTCAGTAGATCCCGCACTGCATGCTGCCGTGCTGAAGTCAAATGACTGACCGGAGAGGCCACTACTTCCTGGTGTAAACACTTGGTCAGGGCTTGAGAGTGTTTCTGGACTCTGTAAGCTTAGGCTTTCTTGTTGGGAAGTGCTTGAGCCCAGCACCAAGGAGAGCTGGGTTTGTTCAGAGCTCAGCTGCTGCCTGACTGACCAAGCCTCTGTCTCACTGTGGCAAAGAGAAAAAGACACAGAATTAATGATATTCTTACTTGTTTCAGCTTTGGTTTTAAGTTTTGACTTTACAGATATAGGCCGAGTCTTACCTGATAATGTAATTGTTACTGACAATAGGGGTTTCCCCAGTTTCCAGCTGCAAGACCATGTAAAGCCAGACCCATGAGTGATCTGCAGTCTCTACACGAACCACCATCTCAGCCCTGCCCTCTCCTCCCTCTCTCACTGTGTGTGGAAAAAAGATGGGTAAGTCAAAACATATTCAACTTCTTGTGAGGTTTTATGTCATGTCTTTGCGGGTGGTCAGAAGTACTTTTTTACAGCAGATGCATATTACTCTGTATTGCTCTTTGTAAGTGTCAAATGTTGATAGGCAACTGTGAGCTAGAAGAGTGCTCATGCTGGGCCTAACCAAGCAAATAAGGGTGAATTTTGTATGTTTAGTCATCCAAGAGTGAGACTCACATAGGCTGCAGTGCTGAGCTGAGGCATGTGAAAGATCCTGAGGATGCAAGAAGCTGTACCAAGATTGGGACCGCAGAGTCTCCACATTTAGACCCAAATAAACATTCACACTGAAAGTTGAAAAAAAGGAAAAATGTAAGAAAAGTTTTATTTTCTTAAAGCATATAATTATTGGTATTTCACAGTTTTATATAAAAAAAAAACACCTAAGGCATTTAACCTTACCTGTTTTGTGCTTCCTGAAGTCTCATGTCACGGCTGTGCTGAGAACGGAAACATGGCAGGAAGAAGCTGCTCTCTAGTGCAGAAGATGAAGGTGGTTCTCTGTCTGGGGCAGTTCCACCTCGGGACGTGTGAGGCTCCAGAGGAGTACAGAAACATACCCACACTGGGTTGGAAGTCCAGTAGGATCCTGGGGAAGACTCGTTGGGAGTTTGTGACAGGCAGCGGGCACGGATTAAAACAAGCTTATTGCCTGCACTCTGCCTACGCACTGATTTGGAGGTGTTGAATCTGCAGCGGAACAGAAGATCTAAGGAGGAAAGGCACGAAAATAATGAACACTTAGAAATCTGATATATATTATGTATCTGTGTGGCATTTTTTTCAAAGATCTTACCTGTGTCAGGTGAAGTTGGAGGCACCAAGTTACTCCTCATAATAAAGTGGTCTGCACTGTCTATTATGTCGTACACGCTGTCCCCTTGAGCGACCAAATCTACCTAAATATTAAAAAAAGAATACACTGTAGGTGAACTTCCTCTTTCATTTATATTGCTTATGAATGGGCTAAAATAACTTGAGATGAAGGGAAGGGGAAGCCTATAAAGATTTAATGAGAATAACTTTTTTTGTCTGCTTGACTCACCATTGAGTGTCCTAGGTGCTCTGAGACACTGTCTGACAGGTACAGTAACTTCCCTTCTCCAGTCAATAGCAGAAGAAAGCCTGGCATCATTTGTACCAACTCATTCAGTTCATGAAATGTGAGGAATCCTGCAGTTTCCTCAGCACTGCTATCTGCAGCTGTATCTGAAAGAAGTAATTTTAAGTGAATAAACTATTACATTTCATTTGTAAAAAAAAGTGAAAGAAAAGATCATCCACGAATGCGATAGCACGATTTTAATTCCAGCACCATGGACAGCGTTTGTGTTTCAGCACCATGGAGAGAAACATCGTTTCAAAGCGCTGTTTGAACTGCATGTTCTTTTGTATCTTAAAAATAGTTCTCTGTATTTTATACGCATAAGCAGCCTAGATAGTGTTAAAAAAAAATAAAGATGCACCTGTTTGCATCAACTCCCGGCAACAAGCGCGTAAAATGAAGTATTGCCTCAACACAAACTCAAATCTATGAAGCTTTGAGGATTACTTAAAAGACTTTTATTCGACTGTTTTTCCAAACAACTGAAATTATATTTACCTTCACTGAAGAAGACAGACTTTCTCGTGTACATGCAAGCCAGCGACATGATATGAAGATAGGAGAGACGAGACTTGTCCGCATCGGAGATGGGCAACAAGTCCTTTAGGTTCCTAATCTCCGCGTTTATCTGGTCTCTTCGAGCTTTCGACGCTCCTTTGGTGGACCGATACATTGTGGTGACTAACGCTGAGGACTCTTTCTGAGCTTCGCTGAAAGTGTTGACTACGGTGCAAGTTGAGAAAAGTGTGAGGCTTCTTCCCAAAAGAGTTTAGGCGCGTTCACAGGTGTGTCATCTCAGCACATGTCCAGAGTACGGATGCTCTTCTCCTTTCACCTGCCTCTCCCGGGTTTCCCCCCGCGGTTCCGCCACAGCGCCTGGCTCAGGTTGCGGACCGGAGGCTGGATGGATCTTTCCTCCGGGTCGGAGATTGAGTCAGTCGGCTGCTGCTGAAGCCGTCTCTCGCCCAGATATCCGGAGTCCGTTAATCTGGTGGAGTAACATTGCAAGCCGGTAACTTATATAGGCTGGGGCTTCACCAGTGTAGGGGGGCTCCCAACGCGCCAACACCGACGTAAAAAAGATACGTTTCATATAAGGATAAGCAATGCTGAAGCTCACTAGTCTCGCCCCTCCCAACCCGCGCGCTCTGACTCTGCTCCGACGTCAGCATCCCCTCTCTCCGCTGATGACGTTGGCTTGAAATCGGGAGCTCCGGCGACGCAAAAAGCCCGATTTGGACAAAACCGAGCAATGGGCGGGGACAGAGAGTGAAACGTAGACGGAGTCACCGCACTCCGGTGTATAGACGTGTACAGAGAAGGGGGGGTTCTGGTTCTGAGCTGCATACGAACGAGATAGAGGAGCACTCTCCCCCAATCCTCTTGTGTGGCATGCTGATTGCCTCCAACCGACCGAGTTCCGATATGATTCAGAAAATGATTTCTGTCTTGTAATCCAATGTCTTGCACTGCATGATCATGCATGGATGCAGAAATGTTTGCATGGAAGCACGGATGCAATCCCTGACATTATTGCTGTAATTTCATGCATCGCTGCGTATTTGCGTCCACATCTGGCAAGCTGTGTGACCACAGAATGAATTCTTCAAGGGATTTCCATTCACAAAATGGCAGATTATAGTAGCATGCGGGACAATGCGCTGCAGTGCTTATGATGACTTTAAATGCAGCAGTGCGTGTGCCCCAGTGAACCAGACGGGGTAACCGAGAACACCGAAATCTCTGCCTAATTATTGTTTCATAAATGCTTTCTCTCTGTCCTTATAAGGGAAACATTGGGCGAGCATAGACAAGGACAACAGCTGTATTGAGTTATGTCTTATGAGATTGTGTGCGTACGGCTACATTGTGGGGAAGAGCCAATGGCTCACTTAGAATCTGTAGTCGCAGTAATAGGGGACACATAATTGGTTGCTTCATTATGAACTTAAGATGCTCCTGTCGAGGGCAGTCTGAATGAGACAGTAAGTTTAAGAATTAAATGGACATCAGGTAGGGTTAGCCATCATGTCTAACTCACTGAAAGGAGTTTGTTCATGAATGATTCTTATCTATCAAAAATGCCAACTGTACCGGGGAAACGTTATATATTTTGTTTAAGTTGCATTACGTAATACATTACAAATGACAAAATGTGCATTGTGGTAAAAGTATTTTAATCGCCTCCATTTTGTTTTAAACATTTTAGTTCAACATGCAACCATATACGAAAAATTAATTTTAAAAATAGAAAATAATTTTGGAAGCAAATAAAAATGCATAAAATATAGGTTAACGACTCTCAAATGTGGTCTCTGTTATCTAATATCAATTGTGATCACAAATCAAATTATAAACCACAAACTGGTGTTAAACTCGAAACCACTCCCTGCTCTCACCTAAATAACATAAAACTCCTGTCAAACAATTGCACATTTATGTCACAAGCTCTACTGATGCCTCTTTACACTCTCTGGACAGTTTGTTCCGTCCATAATGTCCGACAAGCCGAGTGTCCCAGACAGAATCAGTCTAGTGCAGAGCCCTCGCTGCGGTTCTGCCATTCGAGTCGATTCGTTTTCTGAAGTGGACGCGAAATAGCCTGTTCAGTGAAGGTGAGCTATTTTTAGCAACATGCAGAAACTCCAGTGCTTTTAGGAAAGTTATCACAGTGTTATCCTTGTGGCTTGCCGCGGTCATTCAACGATGCAGTAAATCATGCGTTTCATTTTCATTCATGATAAATGACCAGGAGTGCTCATTAAAATGATACACCTTGAGTTTTATACACCTTATTTAAATGTCAGTAATATGCTATTTTAGACGGAATCAAGATGTGTTCGTCATTCATTCACCAGTCCATCAGAGAGGCACGAGCACATCTCTGAAACCTGTTGCGCGTGAATTGAGAGTTTCGCTTCTCTAAAAATAGCCCATGGCTAGTGTCTGACAAACGCACTCAGATTTACCGTCCTCGGCGACACATTTAGTCTTTTTAATCTAACTTTTGTGTTTCGTGGTCAAAAACAGATAGTTGAGCAGGGGTTGAATATTAATAGTCAGTGGGTTATATGATATATGCGTGATAAGCTATCCATTAAACAAAACAAAGCTGGTTTGCTGGCTTTTGTTGGTCTCGGATAGACTAGCGGTTCTTCCAGCACAAATCTCATTTTAAACTAGCTAACAGAAAAGCTTGACCAGGATGGGAGACCATCTTACTGGTTTAGACCGGTTTCAGATGTTCTTTTCAGCAGACTTTACATTAGAGATGTTTTCAAGTTCTTATCACGTTAATACAGAATTTTTGCAGATGTGGTTATAGCGGAAATATCAGGAAGACACTGAATACAAAAGAATCCAGGGAGTGTTGCTATACAAGGGGCCTTAAATTTGCCTCCTGTGTCTCATTATCAGAGTTAATGTCCTGTTTGGTTGGCTCTAAACTATTAACTATTGACTAATTATGTCTGAATTCAATGCAGGATTCATTGAATTAAAGTTTTACATTTTGTTCTTTTTGATGTGATGGAAAAGGCATCTTGTAGATGCTTAGGCTAACTAGGATGCACTCATATTCAGTGGCAGAATCATGCATAAGCTGATGCTGGTTATAGATCAAGCTGATCCCTAATGATCCTTTGTAATTGCAGTGCATCCGTCTGCAGTGCATCCATTCGTGATTAAACCCTGGCAGTGGTCACCCGTTAACAAATTTCACCTCTTAAAATAGTTGGTTGGTTTTTCTGTTCAGCAGGCCCACAGAGTGGTATGTATGTACTAGGTATAGTTTGTATGAATAGCCTCTGCTGTTTTAATATCTTCAAAGCAGAGACAGTACAATATGGAACACCATTGTTGTTGAGGATGTTTCCTTCGGCACCCATTTCTGGTAAATTGGTCGTAATCAATGAGCACCATTGAGTGCAAATTCTGATAAGTTGATGAGTGGTCATCTCCGGTGCATAAAGTGGATGCAAATGCACATGTCAAAGTTTAATCGTAATTGCTCCTCCGTCAGAATGAGAGTGCGAACAGTTTATAAAAACATCACAATAATCCAGTAATCCACAAACAAATCCATCAAGACATTTTAACATGAAACTGTGGCTTCTGGCTAAAATACAAGTCTATAATAACTCTTCATCCAGTGAAAAATTCCATCTGTTGTCGTCTCACATCAAAATCCACCAACATATTAGTTTAAAACAATTTTGGACTGTTTTTGCTTGTAAACAGTGCGTGACCTATGCATATTTCTCTCCTGATTCAGATGAGACTACTGAAGAAGCAACTTTATAGATAGAAGGCTCATATTTTAGCAGGACGCAAAAGTTTGAATTTATAAACATCTTAATGATGGATCTGTTTCTTACAAACATGCATGGAGATGTGTGGGTTACTTAGTGTGATTACTTATTGTGATGTTTTTATCAGTTATTTGAACTCTCATTCTGACGGCACCCATTCACTGCAGAGGATCCATTGGTGAGCAAGTGATGTAATGCTAAATGTTTCCAAATCTGTTGCGATGAAGAAACAAAGTCATCTACATATTGGATGGCTTGAGAGTGAGTATTTTTTATTTTTTTATTTTGATGAACTGTCTTTAATTGCATTTCCTTTATAATTCTAAATTACATACATAAGGTAAAGGCAAGTTGCTATATTTGGTCTTTCCAAAAGTTTTTGTAGAGGTCGTTATGTTACAATCAGGATTTTCTGATCATCTAAAGGCAAAAGATAATAGTTGAGTGCCTGTCGGATGTGAGTAAATGGATAATGCCCAGTATGACATCCCTCTGTTATAGCAGTATGTCCCTAGGAACAGGAAGATGTAATTTAGCCTGTGCCCAGAGAGCACGACTGAGTTGACTCTGCCCACTTGAAGCCTCCTCTGATTTTACACACAGTGGACAAAAATAGCCATGCAGGAAATGGAGAAGTTTCACAATTTTTTGTAAGAATGTGAATTTCTAGTCTTTTCAACCCAATATGAGACTAATTTCAAGACTTGTGTGAAGGCAATTTCAAGATGAGAAAATTAGGGTAAAAATTATTTGCTTTAATGCAAGTTATATTACCCATTATGCCATGCATTAAAATACATATTATGTTTGGAACCAAGTGAGCTAATTCTAAAGTCATCTGTGCAAGTTTAATTCTGCTCTTCCATCAAAGAGTTTTGCAAGTGCACTGAAAGAAGAGTTGCAAAAAATACTTTAATGTGAAACGAAATTGCATTGGCTTCTTGTGTAGCTGAAGTATGCTTGTCCTCTATCTCAAGATTCTTTCTCTCCGCACTGCCGTTTATTTTTACACAGAGAGAATCAAGGTCTTCACTCTGCCTCTTGAAAGAAAGGAGCTAACCTGTCGCCTAGCAACACCTCCCACTCCTGCCAAGCCAGAGGAAGAGAAGAGAGGAAGAGGAAGGACTGAAGCTGTCTATGAAACTGATGAGAGAGACAGAGGTAAAGAGTAGGGTATGGGGTTGCCTTTAAAGTCAAGAGAAGCCAGCTCATCGTGCCAATGTGTGGGCATATCTATGATATCCGTAGCCCACTGAGAGGCCGATGAAGTTGCACCTGTCGTGGCATTTAAATCGTCTAGATTTAAGTATAATAAATTATCTAATGCATTGTTCAGCTGTGCGCTGCTCGATTCATATAAACTATTGTGAGTGAGCAGATGTAACACTCAGACACCCACACACTACCTCCCTCCCTTCCCCATCTCTGTCAGAGATACTTCCCCAGCCTGCAGCCTGGTGGGGGTATTTTTTTCTTTTGCGGTGTATTTTTAGACCCAGAGCTCAGAACAGTGGGAAAATGTGGACTTTTGTTGAAGTATTTCTATCTCTCTTTCATGTTCTGTGAATGGTGACTACTAATTCATGATTTTTTCATTGACAAACGTCAGTGCTTGCTGTAGTTTTGCTTATGTCTTGCCCTTTAAATCACAGTTCTTTCTCTTTTTGTTGAGAAAAATTTCCACCGATCTATTTATAGTCCAGCAAAAGCGTTCTATAATTCCATAAGGTCTTTTTTCCCCTCTTGCTGTTTAAGCTCGCTACTCAATTCCAGCGCTACATGCCAGCACATTGTGCTCCTTTTACGCTCCCTCTCTTTCTCCCTTTGTAAGTTGTTGCTGATGCAAGGTTGCCATGGTGATGTGATGTAGATGTGACATCAAAACAGACCTCAAGCAGCAGATTTTTCCCCTTTCAGTCTGTCGCTCGCTCTCTGTTCTCTCATCTCATTTCATATTAAGCCAAAGGCATTGCATCACAAAACACCTCCGTGAGCTTCTGATCTAAACCCACCTCAGAAATGTAAGAAAGATGTCCTTTTAACTGCACATCCTGCAATTTCTCTTAAAGTAATGCAGCTCTTAGTGACCATAAGAGATCCATTATTCTTCGCCATTCAGGCCTGCCTTTGATAGTAGTGATCAATGATTCAGTGTGTGTGTCTTTCTTTCTCTTTGCCCATCTCTTCGATCTGACTGCAATGTGTTCTCAATGCAACTATAGTCTTTGTAACAGTATTTGTGGTGCCCAGGTTTGTTCTTCATTCTTCTCATCTGTAGCTTTTTATTTGTTGTTGGGATCCACATAAAAAATCTAGGATTTAAAAATCCTTACAAGTCAAAGAAAAGAATTTTCTAAAATGCAAGTGAATATTTTAATCTTTTAATATCTTGTGGACACTTTCTAAGTCAGTAATCAGATGTAATGGGATGTTTATGTTAATTTGTCAGTTCAACAAGTCACTCAAATTGTAATTTGCTGATATACATGTAATTTGTTATATAAAATATGTATGAAATTAGAAAAATGCAAATGCAAGGTCAACAAATCAATGGAAAAACAAGTGAATATGAAGTTTCATAAAGCATTGCATAACTATTAGAAGAGAAGAGAGTGGGCAGAGATGGTTAGAAAGAGGAAGAGAGTGAGCTGCAGGGAGGGAGGGAGAAAGTAAGGTACTTCAGTGCCTTTTTTAGCTCCAGGCTAAAGTTACGATTATTGCTTTTATCCATCCTCAATTTCCCCTTGCCTCTCTCTCTTTGCAAGCAAATATGTTTTTCCCCCCGAGAACGATATTTTCCCCATGATTAGTGCTCATCTCCGCAGCATGAACACTTCCGCACAGTTGGCAGTAGGGAAGCAGAATGGCCTGTGTCATTCACCATGGCTGGATTTGAACAATAGCAAGAGTTTTTTTGGCCCGCTGAATCGTTGATATGAATTTATGAATGGGGAGTCCATTACCTGGCAGTTTTGTTCAACTCACGCTCCAAGTCATCTATGCTGAATGAACATCCTAAGCGCTTATAGGAGTCATATCATGAGGAATCATATTTTCCTTCCAGTACTTAAAAGAGTTCATTATGAAACATACAGTAACTTGCAGAATTCAACTTTCTTACCAGTCCAAAAAGACAACCGCATTTCATCATTTATATCAATCGCATTACATTAGAGCAAGCTGCAAAAATGGTTCGTTCTGAACTTCTTGGACAAACCAAGGAAGTTTAATATAGCTAGAGAGTTTTTTGTTAGCATTCATCTTAAAGCCAAATGCTTGGGTGTGGTTGTTGTTGGCCAATCAATTCTGTCTAAGGGTCAGAGAGAGGATGAAAGGGCTCATGAAAAGATAGATTATGACTGTGTTTGATGCAAAAAATATATGTCAGGTGGGAAATGCAATGTAAATGCATTAAAGGTGCCGGCTTTCCTACATATAGTATTCTCATAGCTTCATAAAATAACTACTGATGTCACAACAATGTCTTACTACCTTTCTGGGCCTTGAACATGGTAGTTGCATTGCTGTCTATGTAGGGTCAGCAAGCTCTTGGATTTCATCAAAAATATCTTAATTTGTGTTGCGAGGTCTTATGGTCTTACAGGTTTGGAATGACATGAGGGTCAGTAATTAATGACAGAATTTAAATTTTTGGGTGAACTACCCCTTTAGGTACTTAAAGTGCAAAGGTACGAAGGTGTACCATTCAGGGTACAAGCTATTTTCTGACTGGTATTGATGAAGGGCAGGACCATAAAAAGTGTTGTGTTTTACAAATGTGCATTATTTATCCCTTTATGCTTTATGAACTGAATGAAGTCATCTAGCCGAGCAGTGGAATGTGAGTGTGATTTGCATTTTTGCAATATGTTGTTAAATCTGCCTGAAGCGTCATTTCGTTTTGCCACAGAAGCTGTTTTTTAACACCCTATGTTAACACTCAGCAGTCAGACTCTCACCCGCAGGCTCATTCATGGTGACGGTCTCTCACACATTACTCATTCACTCATCATGAGAAGACTCACTTTACTGTCTCACTCTCTCAATCTCTGACACAGATAAGCAGCGTTAGTAAGTCCGAAAAAGACGTTTTCCCCCTCTCTTGATGCTCAATTTGAAGCATTAGGCCTCAAATCAAAATATTTGCATCCTTAGGCTATATGTGACCCTGGACCACCACAAAACCTTAAGTCACTGGGGTATATTTGTAGCAATAGCCAAAAATACATAGTTTGGGTCAAAATTATTGATTTTTATTTTATGCCAAAAATCATTAGGATATTAAGGAAATATCATGTTCCATGAAGATATTTTGTAAATTTCCTACTGTAAATATATTAAAGCTTAATTTTTGATTAGTAATATGCATTGCTAAGAACTTCATTTGGACAATTTTAAAGACGATTTTCTCAATCAAATTTTTGCACCCTCAGATTCCAGATTTTCAAATAGTTGTATCTTGGCCAAATATCGTCCCATCCTAACAAACCATACATCAATGGAAAGCTTATTTATTCAGCTTTTTTCAGATTATGTATAAATCTCAATTTCCAAAAATGTACTCCTATGACTGGTTTTGTGGTCCAGGGTCACATATGTGCATGAGATACAGCAAATGACACTCATTATGAGATTGCAACGATGATTCTGAATGCTTAGCGTTTCATGTTTTTACCAATGAAGGAATTCTCTCTTTATTGCCATCCCTCTGCTGGCACGCCCACGCGTCCATGGCAACACATTGTCATATCATAGTAACCACATTTACACTGGCAGAAAAAATTAAGGGTGGGTTGTAGAGGTATCTTTCACTGACCACCATGAGTATGTAGTTTTAAGATGGCTCCTCGTATTCAATGCATTACAATGGTGAGATTATGAAAGTCATTTATCACTAAATTCAGATGGAGTCTGAAAATTAAACCTATATTTTAAGGCTTTGTAATAGAGGTGAAAGCCTATAAAGTACCAGATATTTGCTATAACGTCTTATTTGAAATTACCTGTCGATCCTGATTCTAGTTCCCAGTTTGTGAGCTATTTAATGTAATTAGCCCTCCTCGTTAGGTTCATCTGAATAGCCAATCAGTGGCAGATGAGGTAGATGACTCTTGTTATCAGAGTCACTCCAGCTCAGATGAGGCCCTAATCAAGGAGCGTCTGTAATATTCAGAGGTCAATTTAATTCCCTTAAACAAATGGCCCAATTATCAGTGACCAACATGTGTCCCTTTTCACTCTCCATCTGTGAAAGAGCCCCCTGTCTGCTCTTCTATGGAGATCCTCCTTTATTCGGGATGCAGTGGACTGGAGCTAATGAGACACGCTGGAGCAACTCTGTAAACCCCAATTACCCATTTGAGCATGTTATTCTCCACGCGGACCCTGCTAATGGTCTGCCGAGGGTCGCAAAACATTACAATTGACACTTTTGTTCATAAAGGCTATTTCTGATCTCATATCAGCTTTATTAGACAACCCTGCTGGGAAATCCAGTGTTAGCTGTGTTGATGTTCTTTGAGACATGATAGCTGGTTTTTAGTTTGTGGACATCAGAAAACCAGATACAAACTAGTTATGCTGTTTTATAGGGATAGTTTAGCCAAAAATGAAAATGATGTCATAATTAACTTATTCTTATGTCATTTCAAACCTGTATGACACAAACAACGATATTCTAAAATAATTTTCCAGTGTTTTTAGTGTCTATACAATAAAAGTCAGTGGGGTCCAGTGTTGTTTTGTTCCTCATTAGCTTTAATTTTTGGACAAAAACATTAAAATATATTCTTTACACTCTTAAAATTAAAGGTTCCAAAGGTTTTTTTGTTTGTTTGTTTGTTTTTAATCAATGAACTGTTCCTTAGTTGGTTTTTTTGAGACATGGTGGATGATCAACCACCTAAACCAGCTCCAACTAGTTTAAACTCGATTGTTATCCAGGAGACTGGCATGTTTATTTGGTGTTTATATTTAGGGCTAGATGTAAAATTCTGTTTGCTTTGCCCACCGCCTCCCCACACATGCTTAGCAAATATAGATATCATGAATACTTCTCTGTTGTTTGTAGTTAATGCAGCGGATGTCACAGACGGTAAGTGCTTGTTTTGTAATGGCCTAATGTGTTTGAAAAAGGAGGCGGAGGGCAATAGTGTTTCCTCTTTTCAT